AGTGAGATGCTCAGTGATCAGTGCACAGTCATCATTGTTCCCCTGTTTCCCCCATGGGACTCTGGCTTTGGCAGAGGAAAGGAAACTGATGAAAATCAAGAGGTAGCTTGAAAAATTCCTTTTGGTGTCAACCAGGTAAGGTGAGCAACAAAACTGAGGCAAAGCTGAAGTTCAGTGCTGATCAACTAAAGGGGGGTGTTGGGATTAATTGGAATAGTATGTCATATTCTAAACTTTCAAGAAGTTGAAAATAAGCTTTGTTGCATATGCTTACCCTGGGCAGTGGTTGCAATGTGTACAAGCAAAACTTTCAGATTGTTCAGAATTCAGTGTGAAACTGGTAAGGTCTAAAATACTTTGTGATTATTTTCACTTTCCTATTGGTTTTATTCAGTGTGGGTTGTCTTTCCATAAATTGATAGTGCCTTTTAACTTGTCTGCCATCCAGCAGTGCATGTGTGTGTATGCTTGGGAGGCAGAGCCACAGCTGAAAGCATATCAGGTGGCAGAACTGTAATAAAAAGATGGGGTTTTTTGTCAGTAAAGAGGGTGAGATTCTTCACTAGTTTTCCATGGAAAGTGAGAAATTCAGCAGTTAATTCTTGTGAATTTTTCCCTCTCTTCCTTTCTTCCTAACAGCTGACAAGTCTGACTTAAGTACTAACTCAACTAGAACTGTGTAATAAAACCCTGGACAAATTCTTTTGTCTTTTCTGAGGATATACCTCAGCAGACTCTCTAAGCAGAGATGAAGTGATGTGTACCTAAGGTATGGTTTGAGGCTTTTCACTCTGGGGTTTCTGCAACAGCAGATGCCCAGCTTGCTTTGTGTTTGGTTTCAGCAGGTGAGCAGATAAAGGTGTGCCCAGAGCTCCTCTAACATTCCAAACTATCCTGTTCTCAGTGGCACTCTTCTTCAGAATAAAATGGAATGTGCAGGGGATGACATTGGACCTTATGTTTTCATTGTGTAACTTGCCAAGAAGAGAAATATGTGTGTGGAGGAGGCTTAAGGCAGTGAATATCTGTGGCATCTGGGTGAAATTATGAACAATACAATAACTCTCAGCTGGAATTTCATGAGCAGCTAAACAGTGTCCATCTAGGGCATGCTGAATGAAAAGGACTGGTCTAAAGTAAAACATGCTCACACAAGGAAAGTCCCCACAGTCTGGCATGAAGCCAGGTGCATACTGAATTAGGTCACTGCCTTAAGTGTGATGTTTCCCCACTTCAGAAGGATGTACTCATCCTTTGCTGCAAGGAACAACAACAGAATGCTAATATAATTTTAAAAATGTAAGCATTTTCAATTAGCATGCTGGTCTGTTCCCTTGTGCTTAGAGAATCAATGAACTTTTTTGTAAGGAACAGAAACATTTCCATTGTTGAATATACAGAAGACCCTGGAAATGCAGGAAGTATTAACAACCAGATGCCTCTGGAAAACCTGCAGATCTTTATAAGACTTGTGTGAATCTCAGATGTCTCATTCTTTGGAGATCATACAGACTACTGCAAATAGACTAGTTCTGAAGAACTGATAGGAGTTAAATACCAGCATGCAATAATAGCAGGTGCAATTTAAAGTTTTGAGCTTAATATTTAAGCTCTGAAATTCCAGGGACTTCTGTGTGATTACTAATTACCAGGTAATCTTACTGTCCTTTTTTATAAACTTCAGAATGTTCTTTATAACCCAATTAATTTCCCTATTGTGATTTTTGGAATCCCATGTGCTTTTGTTTGTTCTGGGGTTTCACAGCCTGCTTTCTCTTGTAATCATGTTCTACAGCCTAGTTACTGGAATTCCTAAAGTAGGGCTGTGCCAGACCAGATTCAGATCAAATTTGGGTTGTAAATATGCAAAATAAGGGCATTTTTTTCCCCTGTTCTCTGAAAAGAGAGAATAGTGAAATAGAGTGCTCATAAGCTCTCCTTTTCTAATGGGAAAAAAGGAAGCAAGATTCTTACTGCTTTCACTCACTCTGTGAAGTACTCAAGATTAAATGTATCTTAATCCTTTATGGTAACTTCCCTCAGCAGAAGTAGTACTGAAGGGAAAAAAAAAAGATGTCAATTGGCTCAGTTCCCAGTGCTTTAGCAAACTAACCTACCCATTCAGCTCTCCACGTGCAATTTAAAATTTTAATGTTCGACATAACTGGTTGCACAAACATTCCTGGCCTTTCAAGGCCACGGTGAAGCTCTAGCGGGAGAAATGCCTGTTCTTTATGCTGAGAAAACGGTCAAACAGCAATAGGCACTGCCTGTCTCTGTAAAAGGCTGTCTTGTTAACAGGATTGTCACTGGCCCATAGATGCAGGGTTTCAGCTCATGAAGGGATACTTAGAGCCTAGAAGGGCAAGTGGTGCAGTTCGCATTGCTGCAGGAGTGGGTTATTGTGTATATTCCCTGGGCACCCCTCGGGGCAGGGCAGGGCAGTGCCCCTGTCAGCCCTGTGCTCTGAGCAGGGGAAGGGCTCCTGGCAAGGGCCAGGAACCTGCAGTGCCCAGCAGGGAGTCCCTGCAGGGTGTGTTGGCTTCCCCAGTCCAGGCTCACCATAATGATGAATGTTTGGTCACAGTGAAAAAGGTGGGAAGAGCAAGAGTTCTCTCACTGCCCCCTGCTATTCTCTGAGGGGATCTTCATCTCCTGGTACATTGTGTCCTCTTGACACCACATCAGGAGATCTGCTCTCCCTTGCTCTTAAGACATGAATGAGACCTAAAGAAACTGTGTGACTCATCAAAGTTGAACACAGGGCAATTTATTGGTGGAGCAATAATTGACTACAAAAGCCTGCTAGAGCTCCATCTTCAGAGGTATTGATTTGTCAGTTAACAACAATTAGTATAGTTGGGGCTTGATTTACTGATATTTTATGCAAGTTAGATAGTTTGGTCATTTTTCTGTATGCCTTTACTGATTGAAAATGTGTCAGCTTCTGCATGGAGTAGCTTTAGTACAGTTTAGCATTTACTGAGTTTTAACGAAACTTATGGTTCTTTATGCTATTAATTGTGGCTTCACCTCTTGCAGTCTAACAGAACAAGAATTCAGTAAGAAATGTAATAAATCATCATATGGTTATCTTTGTACTAAAGAAAGCTTGGGAGGGTACTGTATCATTTCTGTGAAGTGGTTTTATCCTGTAGAATTTTTCTTCTGTCTCCCTTGATTCATCACATCTGGATACTGGTCAGTAGTCTGAGGATACATCTGGAATTGATCACTCTTTATAGGCATTCAACTTGCATTTATATAATATTGTGTTTATGCAGTGAGGAGTGACTAAATTCTGGCTTGTCTGGACTTGAAAGGATGTTATCTAGTATTCAGTTGATAAAACTGTTACTTATTTTGTACCTGAGTCTCCAGTGGCTTTCCATGAGTTCCAGAAGCTTCAGTTTCAGATGAGTAATTGCCTTTAATCTGCTGTACTAAGAATTTCTACATAATCTGTTTAAATTATTTATTAACAGGGACTTTAGCACTACAAATACTAAAAACTGCTTTGAGCAGTCCTATAGACTTCAGCTGGACAACTCTTAGGGTGTGCAGCTCTTGCCAAACTTGGTGTGGATGATATGCCTGCAAACTTTGTGTGGCTGTGGCAAGCATTGCTGCTGGTGGTATCAATAAGGCATTTACAGGTCTTTCAGGCCTTGCAATTGGAACTTTCTTGCAAGTGAAGAGGCTGAATATGATACCACCAGTGATCAGGGGTGCTGATCCTGGTGCTGGAAGCTGAGTGGGAAGGGAGAAGTGTCACAAAGACACAATCAGGGAGCGACAGTGCCAGGTGTTTGCTGTAAACACACGGGGAGCATTGTGGCACCCTGAGTGGCTCTCAGGGTCAGCACAAGATGGGCTGGGTGGCAGCTGGCAGTGCCAGATAACTCTGCCTGACCCATGCAGAAGGAGTATGGGAGTGAGCCATTTTTTTCTAGTCTCCTAAGGATAGTGAAACTAAACTGGGAGTCTCAGAACTTCCCCCAAACCATAATTGCATAACGCAGTCAAAATGGATGTAGAGCTAATAGGTCCCTGGATAAATTTTAATGAGCTTCACTTATTTTATACAAGCAAATTTTAAATGAAAGTATTTTATTAATGTTGAAAGTAGACTAACATGCATTGAGCTTACTTCTTACTCTTTTATGCTGTCGTTGAAGAGGCCCATAAAACATTTAGCTGACTCGGTGCTGAGCAGGACTTTTGGTATCCCCCTCTTGCATAACTGTGGGCTGTTTCTCTGGTCTTTCCCTCTAGGTTGGTTTGGACACTCATGTAAGAGTGTGACCCATGAAGTGGTCACTGCCTCTTCATGCTAGCCCAGCCATGTCACAAGATGGAAATATTAGCAGATGGATAATCTCAGGATCCCTTTCATCAATCAGGGATTGGTGTTGAATTTGAATTTCTTTTGAATTAGACTTAATCTGAAATGCGGTTTCAGTAAACTTTGATATTAAAAGCTATAATGATTTATTCATAAGTGAACAGTTATGCCCTGAAAGGTATTTACTTCAAGTAAAAGCAAATGAAATTGCAAGCTTCTGCTGCTTCAAAATAGTTCATGAGGATTTTTTTTTAAATTTTTTTTTTTTAAGTAGCTTAGAGGAGTAGGAAAGGCATGGGATTTGTTGGTATCTTTTTTTCCTCCCACAGAGTAAAACAAAGCAAAAAGCCCAAGAAGGAAGGGGGGAGTTAAAGCAAATGTGAAATAAACTGTGGTGAGACTATAAGAACCGTTACTGCTTTGGCTAGCTGTGTGACAAATGCATTTTATTGGGCTGTCCATATCCCTGTTTTCCAGACACTGTGTCAGAGGGAGCTGCTGATGGGTAATGCAAAAAAAGAAATGTTTTTTTGCTCTCCCTTTATCACTTCTTCCACCATCGGTCTTTTGCATGCATGTATTAGAACTTTGTTCATTGTTTCTCAAATGACTGTCTGCTTTGTAGTTCTAATATGCACCTTTCTTTTAATTTTAGGTTCTGTCTTCGTTTTGCTGACTCAAACCACAGATTCCAAGGAAAGGAGGGGAAGTGGAATAAAATACTCAAGTGCCAGAGGAAAAGCAAGACTAGCCAATGAAAATTATTATTACTGAACTGTAGATTGCTCTCACACATAGTGGGGGGGGGGAAATTGCTGTCTGTTCAAAGCTTACAAAATTACTTTTGCAGATTTCCTTCACAAAACTTCAAATAAGCTAGGCCCCTTCAACTAGGGCTGAATTAGGAAATGGAAATATGATTCCTTGCTGGTGTCTTCAATCTTCCTCTGCCTTTGCAGGCTTTTTTTGTTTGGGGTAGGAAATCCTGAACAAATTGTATGGCGTCAGCCAGACTTACAGTTGATGGTTATGGATGACACAGGAACTTCAGATTTGCATCTCTGCAATGACACCTGATTAAGGCAAAGCTTGAAAACTGCACATCTGCTATGTTACCACAACTTGTAGTAGCTATTACAGTTGTGATTTCTCTCTAAGATTTGAAGTCTGGGGTGATGTCCCCTGGAAAGCAAGAGCAGATAATTAATCTTTTAGGATTGGAAGCAGAAATAATATGAGAATGCCCAGAAGAGGCTTAGTAATTCAAGCCAGGACTCGTTGGCTGTTGGTGGGCCTTGCTTTACTATTCAGTTTAGTCCTGCTCATGTATTTGCTGGAGTGTGCTCCACAAACAGATGGCAATGGATCTCTGCCTGGTGTTGTAGGTGAAACCATGGGTAAAGAATACTATCAAGCTCTCTTGCAGGAACAAGAAGAGCATTATCAAAACCGAGCTACCAGTCTGAAACGTCAGATTGCCCAGCTAAAGCAAGAGCTTCAGGAAATGAGTGACAAACTGAAATCCCTGCAGGAAAAAAAGAGCCCTAAGGTTAATGGCATGAACTACCAGGGCACCAAGGAACAAACATCCAATGATCTCCTAGAGTTTCTTCATTCCCAGATTGACAAAGCTGAGGTGAGCGTGGGGGCCAAGCTGCCGAGTGAGTATGGAGTCATTCCCTTTGAGAGCTTCACATCCATGAAAGTGTTCCAGTTGGAGATGGGGCTCACTCGGCATCCGGAGGAGAAACCTGTGAGAAAGGACAAACGAGATGAGTTGGTGGAAGTTATTGAGGCTGGCCTAGAAGTTATCAATAATCCAGATGAAGAAGATGGACAAGATGAAGATGATGGAGTAGGAGACAGGCAGCTGTATAGTGAAAATGATTTTATAGAAGGTATGTTTACATGCTTCCCAGCCCCTCAGCAGAATGTCACAGCAGGCATTTAATGGGGTTTGTACTTTTAGGTGTTTTACATTTTTGAATAGAGTCTTGAAGAGTTATTGCACAATAAGAGCCTTTATTTCTGATGATGAGGATGTTACTCCTTCATTATCTTGTGTTTTTCATGGAGTAACAAATGCATTTCAGAAGGACTCACCACAAGAGGTGTACTGGGGAAGCTGTATCTGCTTAAAATACATATGCATTCCTAATTGATAGTAGCCAAAGTCAGTGTGACACAGCTGCTTATGGTACTAAATAACTGAAAGACTTGGAGTGAAACTGATGGCACTGGGAGGGAGAAATTGATTCATCTCTGTGGTTCCAGACTAGTTAAACAATCCAGTATGAAGCTACATGGTTTTCCTTCACTCATCTCTGTGCCACTTTACTTAATAGTGAGGCATTTGAGTTCCTTAGAGCTGGCACAGTCCTACTGGAGGGAGAGGTAGGCTGGGTTCCAGGCCTGTCAGCTGAAGAACCTGGAGTCCTGAATAGACCTTTCATGGTACACAGTTATGGGGTCTGCTGAGCTGGACAGCCTTGAACTGTTCTCTTATTTTCTTTTCAGTTTTGTCTCAGTTCCTGTAAGTGTAATTGCAGAACACATATTATTATAAAGGCCTATGTAGCAGTTAAACTTTGGACACTTAGTAAGGCCCTTAAAAGGTGCAGTAGTGACAAATCCCATAACAGGTGGCTTTCAGGGTGTGGTCTCCTGCAATGGAAATAAGTATTATCAAAAAATGCCCTAGTACCTCTTCTTCATAGTTACGGTAATAAATACAGTTCATGCTGCCATTAAAGACCAAACGGTGGACCATGTTATAAGACCATGACTAGAGAAGGTGTTCTGTAGTGAGTACTGATAGCTGTATTATTAAGCAGCCATGCTGGAGAAAGGTACCATTGGCCTTGAAATAATGGGTTCTTTCAGTCTCACATGATGTGATTGGTCTGTAGTGCAAAAAGTCTGTTTTTAACAGCTATTGTGTTTAAAGTTTGATGAAAGTACTCTTCTTCATTCCAGAAGGTGGTACAGGCCTGGTATCCACTCAGCTGGGTCAGTGCAACACAGCCTGTGTTGGGCTCTTAGTACAGTTCTCATTTAAAACCCTATTATTTTTTCTAGGGGTTATCATTCTTGGGCTGTATTTCTACATTAAGTACTCAGCTGCTTTTCCATTGCTCTTTTAGATATTGCTTGTACTCAAGTGGATTTTTATTTTACCATGACTGAAATAGCTGTTGATTTTTTAGTGCACTGCCTTTAATGACAGACATTCAAGAAAGCAAGTAGTTTTAAGACCTTAGAATTACACTTTGTACCTCTGCCCACACCAGAATTTGTTTTTGGAAATCAAACTCATTTCCTTTTGATGTAAAGACAGTAACTTCTAACACAGGGTTGCAGGAACTATAGGGAAAGACAAGTCTTTTATGCTGCATGTATGGGTGTGTTAGCAACCAGCCATAGTGTTATCTAGATCTATTAGTATCTTTCTTCAGACAGAAGTTGTGGATTGTGTGGGTATTCTGTGGGTTTTTATGTGCAAATACTACTGGCTAATTTAGCCATCAAAAAAGAGGCATATTTTGAATGTTAGCGTATATTTCTCCACCCCTGTTCTTCCTGCAGTCACAGTTTAGAAGCAGACCCAGGCAGTGTTGGTGCACACAGGTCCCTTGCCCTGCAGCCCTGTAAACAGGCTCTAGCACTCTGCCTGGGCATCCCATTTTGGTGGAAGTGCACTTGGAAAGCTGATGCCATTCTGTTTATAAAATACTAGTCCCTTAAGCTGTCCTAGACTGGTAGGATCAAAGTGCCTAGCAGGTTTGGGATATCAGCTGAAGTCAGAACAGATCCTGTAACTGTCTTAAGAGCACATCCACATTGTTGCTGGATTAGTGTTGCTCATTTAGAGAAACAGTTTTTAAAGTTGGCCTCAGTTGAGGCATGTAATTTAAGTTCTACATCCTCTTCAGTTGGTAATTATTTTGTAATAAGTGGTTTGTGACTAAAACTAGAGTATTGTGCAATTTGAACCTGGAGGCTGAGAAACTTGGTGTGTGGATTATTTTTTTTTTTTCACTTCTGGGAAAAAAGACAAAACATGGTACTGCATTAGTTAATACATAACCATCATGTTTTGTGCTCAATATAGATAAGTTGATTTTGTATTCTAACTTGCAGGATTTTTTTCCTCAAAACTAGTACATATCTGTATACAAAAACTTATCCACAAAACTGTACTGCAAGAAATTTTTATTCTGAAGCCTTCTAGCTTGTTACCTCAACAGGCTATTTTTATGTAGGTCAATATTTGGTTCTGGGAATTATGTCTGCTCTTTTCTTAGACTTGTGAAATAGTAGACTAAACTTTGAACCATGTAAACTTTTGCGATATGTACTTTCAGGTACACTCTTCTTAGGGAATTTGGTGACTGTTTAATTAAGTTTAGAACCTCTTTACTTATAGATTATTTTACTTAATGGTGTCTTTTAATGTCTGTTGATTATGTCTGAAGGTCTTTCCCAGAATTGCCTCTGATGCCCAGTGAGTTCACTATCATTGTCTTCATTTGAAAAAACATCAAGAATTTTTTTTCTTACTGTGTTTTAGGATTTAATCTATACTGGAGTAACTTGAGACAACTAATACTAATAACATGAATTTTAAATTGATCTGCTTTCTGTTTTAAAAATAAGAATTTCCTAAATAAACTTTTTTCTGAAAAAGTACACTTAATTAGCCCATAATAGTTATGGTAGTCTGAATCTACTGATTTTTATTACTCTTAACACTGGGCAGGCCAAAAAAGTTCCACATGCATGCTGAAGGATGCCAGCTTTGTTGTTGCACTCTGTGTTTTTGCAGTGTGTCCTGGATGTAACTGTTGATGCCTCGCTGCATGCTCAGCCCTGTGGGCTCTGCACAGAGATGCTCTGTGGTGGGGCAGGGAAGCTGTGTCCACAGCAGGGAGCACTCTGGCCAAGTGCTTCCTGAACTCAGGCTACTTTTTTAGTGCTGCAAGACAGAGCAGTGATCCAAATCTGCTTTGTAATTCTGATGAGGCAGATCTATCACAACCATACTATGGTTATGTGCAGGCTTTGCGCAGTAACACTAAGTAAAAAAAAAGATTTCTAAGTGTGTATTACAACTACAAAGATAACTTTCTGAAAACTTCAAATTGTTTTTCACAAAGCTCAGTTGACTTGCTCTGCCGATGAAGGGAAAACCAGCAAATTCCTCAGCTCTGTTTGCTGTACCTATTTTCCTTTGCAGAAACCCATAATGAAATTTCCAGAATTCTAATATTAACAGAAGAAAAATCTGACCTGAAAAAAGTCTTGTTGTGCAGTTACTATTTGAGAAACCCTTTGAAGTGTTTTTTTTTTCTTAGTGTTTACATTAGACCTAAGTGTATGAGAAACAAGAGTATCCTGTTCCCCCTGGAAGAAGAGTATCCCTAGAGAGGATAAAAGATGCAATTTTACATATTTTCACAAATGAATGGATTTAGGATTATGAACAATAGACCTAATTGCTGGACTGCATGTTCTAAGATAGTCTTCCATTAAAAATAGATTTCTTTGAGATCAGTATTTGATAATATTGAGAAATAGAGAGTAATTCAGAGGAGATAATAGTATTGCCTCTGTCTGTTCCCTTTCTCCAGAAGCATGTGACATTGAGTCTTGAAGGGTGATAGAGAAGCCTTGAGGAGCCTTCATGGACACACTTCACTATCAGTGTAACTGGCTTATTTGGGTTTACATTTATCAGTGTAATTGGCTTTTTTAATCAAGAGATTACAAGCTCTTCCATTGCACAAATGTTTAAAATTAACTGTTGGAAAATAGAAGCACTAGCGTGTTTTCAAAAGCTAATTGGCAATTAGCTAATTGCTAATAAGGATCTTGTTATTGAATCTCTAGCAGTGCTGTTTGGGTCCATTTCTCTTGCTTCTGTGTTTCCAGTTGAAACTGGGAAAAATCAGGCAACTTTCTTTAGGTCAGTATTGAAAAAGAAGCCTTCCCACCCCCACCCATCCTTGGAATGTAGAAATCCTTTATTCCCATGTGCAAGCTTCCAAGTTTTTGCCATCCCCATAACAATGTGGACTGCTGGTCATGCCAACAGCCCTGTCTGTGTGCTGCATAGGACCAGCAACTGGCCCCTGTCCTGGGAGCTTCAGTGGAGAGCTCTCATACACAGCAAAAGAACCAGACCCATCTGCAAGCCTCAGACTAAACACTGCCTGGTAGTTGTAAAGCAAGTAATATTCAAGGCAATAGAAGAACAGCTTCTTGGCTTTCATAGTAACTCATCCCCAGGATTCCTGTGTTTAATTTGTTTGGTGAGAAGCAGAACTTCTGCAAAGGGAGTAAAGCTTCACAGACCAGGAATAGCAGCTGTTAAATTATTTCTGCTGCTTTTTACCTCTTTGCTTGTGGAGTTCTCTTTTGGATGGCAGCCAGTGTATGCTAGTTGCAAGGTGAGATAACAGGTTTTATTAAATGAGGCAGTTCCAAGTGTTAAAAACTTGAATACACTTAGAAGTAAACCAGATATGGGTTCTTTTTCTGGCTGTTCTCAAATCTGGCTTCTGTGCATAGAGACTTTAGTCCCATAAAAGTATTCAAATTAGTAGATTAGCAACAGGAGCTACCTCATAGCAAGGAGAATAACTCCAGGAGTAAATACTATTTAAAAGAAATGTGGCTCTGGTAGCATGTTGAGATTCAAAAGTTTGGAATCTTGTATTTCAACAATTGAATGTTGGCTAGACTCTGTTCCAATTTGAATTTGCATATTAAGGTCTTTATGAAGTTATAGCAGTGGGTTTTGCTTTAGTTTAATTTTTTTTTAATTAGTCTAGAAAGTTTAACTTTCTACTTCAGCCTTCTGTTGTAGACTGTCATCTAAGCTTATAGTTTGATTTAAGATAAGCTATTGGCAGCTGTTAATCTTCACTTAATGTTGTAAATGGTATTTTTTTCTGTAAACAGCTATTGGATAGCAGAGAAAATAGTAAAATATAAAATACTGAAGGTTGATTTCCCCAGGAGTCCTAGTCCAAAGTATTTGCTGTCTATTACATGAAAGTGTGATGTATGAGCACCGTGGTGCATGAGCTGCTCCATTAACCAAGATGCTGTTTTCAGCTACTGTGCTGGAGTGTGCAGCACAATGAGTTGGAATGGAAAAGGGTTGAGAGGGATTTAAAATCATCTGCTGCTTCTGGCAGTCAGCACTGTGGGCTTTCATTGTTTGAAACACCATTTTCAGTGCTTGTAATTAATAATGATTTGAAAATAAGCATTAAAATGTGATGCATAATTATGCATCTCTGTGCTGACAAAAGCACAAATGTGAATTTCAGTCTCTTAAAGGAGAGCATTGCAGAACTTTGTTCAAAGGGTTAAAGCCTCTCAGCTGAGAGCTTCAGTCATCACTGACTTGCCACTAGTGTGATGGACCAGCTTGTTCTGCTGCACCGTGTGTCCCACAGCCCCTCTGTGGTGCTCATCCACGTTGTCCCTTGGGTCTGCCCATGCATTGTCCACAAGACAGGTGGGATTACAGACCTGGGTATGGGAGGGCTGCAAGAGAGACTGGGCAGAAGGAGGGAACATCAGTGAATGAAACTGGCTTTGGTTTGGGGATGGAGGCTGGAGCAGAGGAACACAGAGGTGGATTTAGGGAAAGGATTTTTTCTTTGTGAATGGAATCTGGGATATAAAGAAAGAAGTTAGGTCAAGGTGGTGTGCACATTCCTTTGCTTCTTGTGTTGAAAGAGAAGGGAACATGGAGAATACTTGCCTGGGCAGAGGGAGGGACACAAAGCTCTGTCATCCCTTCTTTCTGGTTCCTGAGACAGTCACACTCAAGGTGCTCTAAGGTGGGAGCTGCTTCCTTTGCATACTTTGTCTGGTGTTGATTTCAGTTGCAAAAAAAGACAACAAAAAGGACACTTATCAATGCTGGGTGCAAAAGAGAACCTTTTGTGTCGCTGGTGTGGTTTGCCTGCTCTGTGGCCTGCCACCAGCTGCTTTCTGGGTGGGAGCTTGGGAGGGATTTCAGCTGCTGAGACTGGCTTGGAGAAGGGGCAGTTCAGGGCAGCCAGGTGCAAGGAAATGCAGCGTGTTAGGGCAGGGGTGTGCATCCCTCCCACTTGGGAATATGCAGCTCTTTGTAACTTTCTCTATGGTCTGGATGGCCATTTAACTGGAATGCAATGCCAGTTCACGGTGTAGCTTGTGATACTTCTGGTTAATACATCTTTTCCTTGCTGGTGAGAGGAAAGCAGAGATGGGATGAACATAAGACATTTTTGTTGGAGGATTTTTCCTGTCATCATTTCTTACTCTCAGGTTAGCATAGATATGGAATGATGAGCCTCAGTCCTTTCCTGTGTGGTGTAAAATTAGAGTCTATTGGTTTAACTTCCTTCTTTGATGGCCCTTAAAGGCCCATGTTCTGAAAGGGACAGATTTTTTTCTACCCATTTGGAGTAAAATATCTCTCAACAGATAGTCCTGTTTCTGGAGGGAGTAGCACTTCTGTATTGAAGTGTGACAGCCACATAGAAAAACTTCTGCCTATGTCCTTAGAAGTGTATGGGTTAGTAAAGTACCACTTATTTGTCAGATAGAAAACATTAATTACTGGTCAGCAGTGAAAACAATTTAAAAGCATTCCAGCATTATCACACAGTTGTTTTGTTTAAATGCCACATGTCAGATTTTGCAGACTTTGTCAAGCAATTACTGTCATTTGTTCTGCCCACAGAACAAATTTTGCTTTTCTTGTGGTGATTACTGGCCAGATGATCTCAGATTTTACTGTGGGCTAGCTCAGTGCTAGATGCTTATTGAAGGGCTTAAGAACAGGCAATATTAGACTTCAGCCATCCTTTTCCTTAGTAAATAGTTGAATTCCCTTTTTGTTGGGAAGACCCAGCTCCAATAGAGGAATTGGCATAGGACCATGAAACCTGTCTCTAAGAAGCAGGGAAAGCTGGAGTGAATTTGGGATTGTTTCTCAGGTCTGACCTAAAATGGTAGAAGGGTGACTGTGATGGATAACCCTTTGTGGAAATTTCATAGAGTTTTAGGAGAAACCCAGAAGCTTTGCCCTCACTTCTTTAGTTGTAAAGAGAACCAGTGTGTCTGAAATAAAACTGCTGGGATCTTTGACTTTGATATTACTTGTGTGACTTATTCTTCAGGTTACTATCGTACAGAGAGAGATAAGGGGACACAGTATGAGCTGTTTTATAAGAAGATGGATGGCATGGAGTACAGGCATGTCACCTTGTTCCGACCTTTTGGACCCCTCATGAAAGTGAAGAGTGAAACAGTCGATATTTCTAGATCGATCATTAACGTTATTGTTCCTCTTGCTGGAAGAACTGAGGCATTTGCACAATTTATGCAAAACTTTAGGTAGGTGCATGAGATTTAATAGTGAGCTGTGTTCCTGATTTTCAGTGTTTTGTTTTGTTTTCAGAGTGAAATCCTGTTCTGGTTGAGTTGCATCAGAGCTAATGATTCCAACATTGTGTGGAACTGCCTTGGGATGTTTGTAATTGAACCTACTGTATGGAGAAAACATTCCTTCTAAAAGGGCTTAAGAGATTCTCTAACTGCAGCAAAATGACCAAAAGTCAGGGTCATTGTGAACCTGGACACAGATGATTTTGAACATAATTTGTGTATTTGCATCAGTTGGGGAGTGCCTGTTTATAAAAGAAGGTATTGGAATGTGACACACAGTATTGGAACCTTCTGATGTAAATGGGCAGGATGGGGAAAGAAGAGGGGAAAGCATCTCTTCTTGTTTTCTTTGAAGCCATTTGGTGATGGCCAGAACACTTCAATCTGCTAATTGTTTTTAATGCTATAGCTTTTAAGTACCTAAAGTTTTTTGTTGTGTTTCAGGTATTTACTAATATCAGCTTATCTTTGGGCTTACAGGGATGTGTGCATTCATCAGGATAAGCGTGTTCACCTCACAGTGGTGTACTTTGGACAAGATGGTCTATCAGAAGTGAAAAGCATCCTAGAATCTGTGGCTAGGTAAGTATGTCAATCCAACATCAGTTAGTAAAACTGGCATTTTAAACAGCTTTTAAAAAAGAATGAAGAAATAAACCAAATAAAGCTAATACTCCAACACAGGTTACTGGGAAATTCATTATTTATTTACTGTACCCTATTTATGGTTGCCATTTTACAGCTTAGGTTGCAAAAGTTTCCTGAAGACTACTAAAAATCAAGTTATAGCCAGAAAAGTCTTTGAGGCTTCTATTTGACAGTCCCAAAAACAACAGGGATGAGTTTTGCCGTGGATATTCAGTCATGCTAACAGATTGATTAGAGTTGAAGTTCTTTGGAACTGGGATGTACATTTTAATACCTCACTGGAGAAACAATTTTATTTAATTATGAGGAAGAGAAATGTAGTAGTCAAAGTAGGCCTGTACATACTCTCAGCTGTAAAATAACTTTAAGCAGGGTTCATCATGGCTGTCTCAGCATTACATCAGTAAAATTCACAAACGTGTCTCTTATGGTTTTTGTTCCAGAGAGATGGGACAGGTGTCAGCATCCTTCACCCTGTAGCCAAGGGGCTCCTTCACCACCTGAGCTCTTGCACCCATCCCTGAGCTGGGAGCCTCCTTGAGCTCTGGTGTGGTCCCTGTCTCAGGATGCTGGCCAGGCTCCTCCCCATGGCACAGACTAGGCACAGGCTGCTTTGGCACCAGCTTGGAGGTGTGATGGAGAGCTGGCCTGACATGTAAGGGCATCTCATAGGAAGGGAGGAGAGAATTTCTGCATTTGCTGCTGCAGTCTCCCTAGCACCTGCTGTGTGCTGTACCCCTCCATTTTTGAGGCCTCTGCTGCCTGCCCTGCTCCCTGTGAGATGTCCCTCAGAGCAGTGACTCAGTGCTGCAGGCTCACTGGCCATTTACCAGATTCAGTGTCTTTTTAGTGGTGCTGCTGTTGACTATCTTCACTCTGTTCTCTTCAAGCATTGTCCTCTGAAGTGTCTCTGAAGCAGACACTTAACTTTGCTTGAAGATGTTCTCTGAGTGGGTTTCCAGTCTCCTTTGGCTGCTCCTTCCCCATTCTGCTGGGAGTACAGGCATGTGTGCTAGTGGTGACCAGCGAGGAGAAGCAGAGTGCCTGGGTTGTGGTGGCACTGTCACACAGGTGGCCTTTGCCCCTGAGTCTGGTGATGCCAGCACTCTGGCTTCCTGTTTGCCCTGCTCTCTGAGCTGGTGAAGACAGATATTTCTGTTGGTCAGGAATTCATGGTTTGTGGGGACAAATTTTAGATGCCATTGTAACTCATAGAGTGTTTTAGTTCATGTCAGTTAACAAAAGGCCTTTTAATCTGTCTGAATGATTAAACATGAAGTTACAAAGACTGATTTCTGTCATTTTACAAGGCTTAAAATTAAAATAGACAACTAACTGTAACATATTTTTTTTCTCATTCTGTTCATATAACTGTTTTTCTTTTTAAATTTCTGGAATGAAATTCCTGTAAAATGCAAAAAAAACCCTATCAATGGTCCCTCTGCCCCTCCCCACAGATTTATTTTGGGTTTGCCTCTTTTTCTTGTAGAGAAACTGACTTCAACAATTACACGCTTGTCTCTCTGAATGAGGAATTCAACCGGGGCCGAGGACTCGACATGGGTGCCAGAGCCTGGGAAAAGGGCGAGGTGCTGATGTTCTTCTGTGATGTTGATGTTTATTTCACAGCCGAGTTCCTCAACAGCTGCCGCTTAAACGCTGAGCCCGGTACGTTCCCCTGTTCTTGCTGAGAGGGAGCCTTGTCACCCTGCTGGACTTCAGCTGACCTGTGCTGGGCATGTAGGAAACAAGGAAAACTCAGCTAGAATGGTGGGGCTTATTCAGTACCTCACACCCTGGAAAACTAATCACACTCTGCACAAAAGGCAATAACATTCACACTGAGAAATAACTTCTGCCTTAGTGTAGCTTGTTTTAAGAACATGTCTCTTTTGTACAACATACAGTTTTCATGTTTTCTGCAGATTTAGGTGTCTAAAAGAAAGCTGGACAACTTAATTGCTTTAACAATTAGACTGGATGTAAATCTGTATAACAAAACTCAAGAGTAACACTCTAGAGTGGAAGATGACTTTTGTTATGCTGAAATCTCTTAACAAGTTTGGTTTATCTCTTCTCACACGTGTATGGCCAAGACATGTCACAAAGGAATGGTTTTCAGTAGAGCTACAGTGTGCTCCCTGTGGAACCTGAGCTCATGTTCCACTGTTCCATCCCAAGCTCTAAAATATTGATTGTTTTTCTAAGTTTGTGTGATGCTTGCTTGTTCTACAAGCTTCTGCCAAGAAGGGTGAAGCTTTCTTGAGTTAACAGGCATGCTACTGAAGATCTCCTTCTGTCAAACTCTTTGGGTTCTTTTTTTAATGCTTACTCTTGTTTCAAATTTGTTGCAGTCAGAAACCATTTTCTCCAAATGTCAATTTGGAATCAATAGATGTTTTTTCTTCACCTAACAAGCAGGCAAGAAAATTATTCAGAGGCCAGATATTTGCGTTCTGTTTCTTGATTTTTATTTCCTTTCTGTCTGTCTCTGTTCTTCATGAAACAAGTTGTGTAAATAATGGGAAAATTTTGTAGAGGAGTTCAAGACACTCGTTGAAATTCATACTGGCAGTTTGTCACCTTTGTTTTAAATGAGATCTGAAAATGCTGCTCACTCCTTCAGAGTTCATACCTAAGTCAGGATAGTGAATATTCTTGTGGATTGTTGTCAATACTTTTGCAGCATTGGTGATGCAGGCCATTCGTGGAAAAATATTTACCTGGCTTCTGAAGAGACACAGAACTGATGTTTTCAGCATAGTCAGGATTCTCATGATGCTTGATGCCCTTGCAGGATATCCTGGGAGTACCTGCTTTTACATGTTTGTGGACAGAGATAAATTCGTAAAATTCAACAATGCAAGGTGTTACTCGAATTTGATTATTTTTAGTTTTACTGCATATCATTATTACAGGAATTTTTCAGTCACCTGGAATGATACTGAGATATCTAATATTTTATATAAGCATGTATAACCTATAGAAATGTAAATCCAGTGTAATATGTATAATATGCATACATATATATTTTTTTTAATCCTAAGGGCTCTGCCCCACTGCATGTTACAGGCTTCCTAGGTGGGAGATCTTAGCAGCTAGAACTTGTTTTTATTTATTTCCACTAGAGGCCTAATAGGTAATCTCTTACATAAAAAGAGTGTTTCTGGTTTCTTTTTGCCTTCAGAAAGCTTGCCCACAGTGAGTAACAATTATCTTTTGACTTCCAGGGAAAAAAGTTTTCTATCCTGTGGTATTCAGCCTTTACAATCCTGCTATTGTCTATGCCAATCAAGATATACCACCTCCTGTGGAGCAGCAATTGGTAAGCAGCTTGCTTTATTCTGGGCAGAATTAGGTGCACTTTGTATTAAAACAAAAGTAAGTCTAACTTAATAGTCTGTTTGGGATATCTTGTGACCTTTGGCACTGCATATATAAACAGTTTTCTCCATTATGGACAAAGCACTGGGAAAAAACCTTCCACCTAGTTTAAAAGAAGTAATTGCAATTAACCAAATGAAGTTGGTAGTTCTGATCTGCTGCTTATTGTGGCTTGACAAGCCAGTCTTTTAGGAGGATGGTGGCATTGCACAGCAGCAACTTTGATCTTATGTTCCAGCAAACAGAGCGTTGGTGAAAGGCAAAAACCTCTGAATGAAGTGTCCAGTCTGGCTCTCTTTTGAGAGACTGCATGGATGAAATTGGGTTTTGCAGCTGAGACTTCTGAGATGGACAGGTTTAGAAGAGGAAAAGAAGAGAGTAGCGTGAAGAAGAGCTGTATTAAAAGAAAAACACAATAGCCCTCATTCCCTATGCTGTTTGCAAGGATCCTGCTGAAAGCCAGAGGGAAGGTTTTACATATAGTCTTGGATAATCACAGCTGAGAGAGGAGTGAGCCCCTGCCTGACAGCTCTTCTCTTCACTCTTTTAAACTTAACAGTATTATGGTTGTTGACTTCAGTCACAAAGCTTACTTTCCACATCATACCAGATCAAGAGACAAATGTGGCCTTAGAAAATGGGTAGGAAATGGAGTGGTGGGAACAGATGATTTAGCCATGGGCTAATTTACTGCTTGGTCTGGGCAGATACATAGAAAATAGAGGTGGTGCAGCAGAAACTGCTGTGGAAACTGCTGTGAGGTCGAGTGGAATTGGAAGGCAGAGGGTGAAGTGAGCTGCAGGTCACTGGGAAGCCCCACATGAGTGCATGACACAGAAATACCAGAAGTGTTACAATGCTCTATCCTGCCCTGAACAAATGATGGCAAGAGCTTAGCTTTCTGCAAAACCAAGTGCAGTGTACCTCCGTGGTTGTATTGTACATTTCAAAGTTGTACTGGTTTAAAATTGCAGGTGCACAAGAAGGATTCTGGTTTCTGGAGGGATTTTGGCTTTGGGATGACTTGTCAATACCGGACAGACTTTCTGACTGTTGGTAAGATGAGACTAAAAATAAAAATTGTGGGTTTAAAAAGTGATTCTCTGGTCTCAACTAATGACAGGAAAGGAATACATTTATTTCTTGGATTATTTCCCCAGGCCCAGCGGTCAGACTTGCTTGACAAGTTTGACCAATGAGATAAATTAGCTTTTCTGGATTTTGATGTCCCATCTGTTGAGTGTATTAAAAGACACAGTAGTTTTAGTAGAAACATTTAATTGTAGAATTTTTTTAAATAGTGGTGGGGGTTTTTTTTGGTCCTTTGTGTCTGTCTGAAGCAAATGAATCAAGTTTAAGAAACATGTCACTCAAATAAGCCATTCACATAGACAAGAAGTATTCAAATCCTTTCTTTTAAATAACCTAGAGAAGTTGAATACATTTGTTGGAGTTAGCAACGTGCTTTGCCCCCCCTTGTGGCATGTTCTTGAAACTGAGAACAGCTTGGTGTGCTTAAATGTGGAGGATAGTGCTGAGCATAGTCTGCCAGAAGATGTAAATCTGCCAGAAGATGCAGTGACACAGCCCTGCGTGCTGTCTGGTGCCTTGAATGCAGGCTGATTGCTAAGAGCAGTCACACTGCCATCTGTATGGTAGTGCTAAATGAGGACTTGATAATTCTGGAGTTTTGAAATTGTACAGGAGCCTGGGTTGCTCTTCACTGTAGTCCTGGAAAAACAAGAGAACTTAAAATGGTGTACCGTGTTCCTTTCCTTAGTCCAGCCTTTTGAATTGTGACCTGTGGAGTAATTGCTGGCATTGTTAGAGAGGATTTCTCATATGGGCATGACTGCTTCCTTTTCCAGCTGCTAAAATCCATTATGCTTCCTAAAAATAATTCAAAAGCATAGCGAGTGAGGTTTGCCTACAGTTTTCTGCAGCTGTCACATGGGATGTCATGCATAATGCAATTTGGAGACACTGCTCTAAGAGACTTCCTGAAGTCAGCAGATCTGTGTCCTGGGCAGTTCCCACCGCCAAGGATGTGCTGTCCTTGAGGCTCCTGTCCCTCTGACTGGCACGCCATGGCAGGGGAAGCTCAGTTAATTGCTACAGAATTTCTGGAACGTCATCTGGTAACAGGTTAGGCATGAAGTGTTGCTGTCCTTGCCTGCGTGCCCAGGTAACGATTTGTGCCGCTGTCTCTGCAGGGGGCTTTGACTTGGAGGTGAAGGGCTGGGGCGGCGAGGACGTTCACCTGTACAGGAAGTACCTGCACGGGGAGCTGGTGGTGGTCAGGACGCCGGTGCCCGGGCTGTTCCACCTGTGGCACGAGAAGCACTGCGCGGACGAGCTGACCCCCGAGCAGTACCGCATGTGCATCCAGTCCAAGGCCATGAACGAGGCGTCGCACTCGCACCTGGGCATGCTGGTGTTCCGCGAGGAGATCGAGGCACACCTGCGCAAGCAGGCCTACAGGACTAACAGCGAGGCCGCGGGCTGAGGGGCCGAGCCCAGGGACTTCGCTCTCGACCAGCACCGCTCTACAGCCTTAATGCAGCTCACAAACACAGTGCCTCTCTTTTTCAGTGAAGAAGAGCTTAGGGGGTTTTTGCTTCTCGTGTTTGTTTTCCCAGTAATCCTTTGACTGATACCCACACGTGTGAGTTCAAGCGCCTCAGCTAAATTGGAGGGCCCGTGTAGTTCAAGGAAAGTGTCTTCAGTGTCGACTGGAAAAATCTCTGGAATGTACAATTCAACACTTTTCCATGTGGTACATCTCTGTTCTTATGTTTGCATTCTTTTGAGAATTAAATGAAAAAATCTTTCGTGTCTTGAGTATTTTCAGTCTGTATGGCTCACTGCACTGTGACTTTAGAAGGATCCCATACTTAGACTTCATTGTAGAAACAAGAAAAAGGTGGGGGAAAATAATCTCACCATGAAAGGTACATGGGCATGCTGACCAGTACAGCAGCTGTGCAGGGTGCTGATTCCACAGCCAGGGCTTGTGCCTCATTTGCTCTATAACAGACATTGACATGGTTGAATAGAGAAAAATTTAGGGGGTGGAAATGAAGATCCTTTTAAGTGGCATTTTAGAGCATATAATGGAAGTTCACACTGTGAAGGAAACGCCACCTTCTTATGTCAGTGATGGAAGTTGGGAACATTCCAGCTTGGTGTTTCTGTGCCTGCTCTTTTCCCACAGTAGATGCCATATCCCTTCTATAAACTGAGCTGTGCTATTAAACTTGTTTGCTTAAATATTTTTGGCCTTCACTCCTTCTTATTCCAAGGCCCTGCCTATGTATCTCATCCTTTAAGTTGAGGAACCACCTTTTCATTCCCATATTAATTTATTAGAGGCCTGTTTGCTGTTATGCCAATATTTTCCTTGTGCATTCTTTCTCTTTTGGGCATTTTCCTGACATGTTTTTGTAAGGTGTCCTATACTCATAGTTGTTTCAGTGGCTGAAAAAGCAAGTGCTATTACAGTCTTCCTTTATACCATGCTCTTCATTATACTGATGATCCTAGCAGCCTTACTTGTTCAGTTTGCAGATGTTTTAGGGTTTTGTTTTTGGTTCTTTTTCCTCTGGGTCAGTTTTTTTTTTTGTTTTTTTTCTGGTTTTTCTTTTGTTTATTGAATTTTTTTGAGCATGTTTAAACAGAATTATGCTGTGGTCTCATTAGTGCCTTGTACAATGGCACTACTACTTTGGTACTTACCTTTTGGGTGTTTTGGGATGCATAAACAGTACAAATGCAGGCAGGTCATTTTTCTCCATGTTGTCTTATATGATACCATATGGCATGCCTCGTTTTTTAATACATTTGTTTATAGAATGAATGCAGAGAATGCTAATTCAGTGGTTAAACCATTTGCATGGTTTCTGCTGAATTTACATACTAGTTGAAAACCTTTCTCAAACCAGGTAATTAAGATCTGTTTATGGGTTTACTTTGCTAAAGAATTCTGAAGATTTAATGATTGATTTCTGAATAGCAGATATGCTGTGCAAATAGTTCTGGGCACTGATCCTTTTTTATATGTATATAAAATTTGCCTTTATGTAACTTATTGTGGAGAACAGTGTACTGTATTGTACTTAGAGTGAAGAGAATGCATTGCAGGACTTCTTGCAATTTATATTCTCAATATAATAAATGGAATTTCTGCATTTTAGAAATTGTTTTAAGCTGTTTCTTTGAAATATGTTTTTACAATAACATTGTATAGAGCATAACACACTGGATTCAAATAATATTTGCTGTGAGAAGTTCAACCAGCTCAATTTTGCATCTCAGGTTCTACCCAGACCAGATACCAGAGTTTGTTCCTTGGACAACTTAAATTTACACCAGATTTACCTCACTTGGATACCTCGGTTGTTGCTAGCAAAAATTGTAGGGTACTGGTGAGGACAAGATGAAATACATTGGTGTTGTGACTTGGGGTGAAGATACAAGTGGGGCACTCTCCTGAGACTCCAGCCTTTAAAACTCCAGGGCAGCTGCTGCTGTCCTGGCTGCACAAGAAAAATCTATTCCAAATTGCCTCTCCCTGGCACCAACACTGCTTGGCAGCCCTGGAGTGGACACAGAGCTAGGGCAAGGCCCAGCATTGCTGCAGCTCAGCTCCCAGACCCTGCCTCAGGAGGATGCACTTGTCCCAGTTCTCGTGTTTTGGAAACACGGCAGAGTGCTGATAGCCAGGTGTCTCAGGTTCTGCTGTTTTCCACTGCGTGGTTGTGCTTATCAGCAACAGCGAGGGAGATCGGTGTCAGTGTCCCCATCTGGGTGATGAAAACCGATGTGTGGTGGTGATGGGGGAGGTCTGGACACGAATGGAGTCACCAGGAACCACTCGGGAAACTTTTTTCCATTCAATATCCCAAAAGGTGCAAGCAAATGCATTGGAGTTAAAAGGAAGTCAGAACACTTGGAAATATTTAATATGTGTGTTGGGCAATATACACAAGCGTTCCAAATGACTCATGAGTTGAGGATTTCTGATCTTACAGGAGCCCTTGCAGGCCTGGGGTTTCCCTTGTCTTAGTTCAGCTCCCTGCAATACCCACCTGTGCAGGTGTTGCTGTGGCACACACCAGCTCAGCAGCTCTGTGCACCCCATGTTTAAAGGTTTAAAAGCACACCATTACCTCTGTAATGGGGCCAGAACAGAAATAGGGATATGCCTTTATTAAAGACAAAGTGAGTTCAGTTACCTGAGCTTGTTCAGCTTCTGACTGCCTTTGGGCACAGCCACACTGTGCTGCAAGCACGTGTTTGTGAGCAGCAGTGTTGCTGTGTCCCAGTTACTGCTGTGAGCTGTGACCCAGGGCAGGGATGTTCTTTCCCATTTAAATGGGTAACTCTTCCTTGGATGTGTTTCCTTACTTCATCCAAGAAAGGGAGCAAATTAGTTGTGCTCAAATACAAAAATCTCTTGCTTGGGAGCAAGACCTGCTTTTGGCTTTCCCAAGCTGTGCTCTGCCTGCAGAGGAAGAATAAACTCCGCATTGTGGGGGGTTTCTTTAGCTTGGGGTGCTGCTGGGGCACTGCAGAGAAGAGTGACAGTGCCAGCCTTTGGAGTCACAATCTGTGTGCCCAGGGTCGGGGCTTGGGTTACATGGCCAAGTGCTGGGCCTCATCCTCCTGTTTTGACAGATGCTGTTTACGTAACACGCTTTTTTTGAGCTGTGGTCCAAGTGTTTTCCTGGAGGAGTCCCTGTGTTTTAGTGCTAGAGTAGTAAATATAGTAACACTTATTTAAATAGGAACATGCTTCACTGAATCATGAAGTAATTTTTGATTCTGTTGCATGCTGTTCACATAAATTGTAACCTTTTCCAAGGAATATGCAAGCTGTAGTCTTCCCTAGAGAGAAGTGTTCTTCATTAAAAGAAGTCAAGGTGAGATTAGTTCAGGGTGGACTTTTAGTTTAGACCCTTGCAGGAATGAATGTGGGTTGTGCTTTTGAAATTGTTTAAAAATATGTTCTTCAATTAGACTAGTAGATACTAGTTTAGAGAATCAGTAAATACACATGGAAAACTGGAAAAAACTTAGGGAAATACTTCTGGGTCTCCCGAATCCAGAAGAAAATACTGAGTTTTTTAGTTCCATAAGGGCCTTTGGACTCTGAGATCCACACACCTATGAAAATCAAAATTTATCTGCAAACTGTGTTCAAGAAGATAATGGCATCAGGAGGGAAAGAGAAGTGGTAGGTGAGCCCTGACCACTTGTACCTGAATGCAGACATTTAAATGGTCTGCAAATTCAGATACATTTAAAGTACCATTACAGGTACCTGACCACTTGTACCTGTACTTGCAGACATTTAAATGGTTTTAGTTCGTGCCAAAATATAAACTAGAACAAAATTTTTGCCATGTCAGATCCATGAATGAAAGAAATAAAGCTTCAAATAACTTTTAAAATGGTGTTTCAGCATAAATTAGTCACTTATTGATGCATCAGTGTAATCATAAAAGATTTCTGTGCATCAAAAGTAAGCGTAGTTTTCATTTGCCTGAGGTGTTCTTGCTGACTGTGACTCCCAAATACATCTAAAGGAGACAAATCATTACAATTTGACTCAGCTGTGAAGGAAAATGAGGATAATGAGCTTAAGCTGTGTCTCGTTGATGCCCCAACGATGCTCACCTGCTCCTTGTTGGGCCTGAGGGGCTGCCCTGGCCCAGGTGCTGCCAATGACCACGGCAGCTGGGCTCAGTTAGCCCTGGGCAAGCCCTGCCTGCCCTCACTTGGGACCTGGAGCTGGCAGGGAAGGGTTCTTCTCCTTCTTTTCCAAGAAATGTGGCTCTCTCCTGGCTTTGGGTGCGTGTTTTATTATTTTTTTATTATTCTATTATTAGGTGTTATTTTTGAGATTGCACTAGAAAGGGAACAGCTTCTACCTTTTTGTTAGGAGGCCTTACGTGCTTCTGTGGAGGTTGGCCTAAAGAGTAGGGGTTGGAGCTGGGATCTGCATGGAAGTGCTGTGCAGCAGGAGTACTTCTGACCTGCAGGTAGAATGTTAAATAAATCTCTTTTAAATTTAAGTGTAAGTGTTTGCATTAGGTTTTATTAAAACACAGCTTTGTTTTGGTTAGCTTAGTCTCTTCAAGGGTAAGGTAAAGAAGTCCCCCTGAACTTGGAGTTTGTGGTGATTTAACTGGTTTATTTGAACTGCTCTAACTGTGTTTGTTATGTGGTGAGTTTCTCTGGAGCATTTTAAGTTCTTACAGCTTCAAGGTTGCCTTGTAGCTACAGGGCTTGTATGTACCACATCGCTAAAGTGTTTTGACCTGTGTCCTCTCAGCCTTCTCTATCAATGGTGTAAGAACTCTTTGCTGGTACAAGTTAATTTAGCAAAGGCTTTAGAATTTTTTTTCATAGGTAGAATACTTTGCATTTGTACTTGACTGGCAGGTGAAGGAGGACATGAACTCATTCCTCATTTGTTTGTGCAGGGTGTTTCTTTTGGGGTTTCTTTGTCATTGCTTTGCTGTTTGTATATCCACGGTGGGAGCATGTACTCTTTGCCAGCACCTGTGAGTTCTCAGACTTTGAGTAGAAGTGCTGTTTTTAAAAAAGGCTGTATCTGTGGAGTGGAATTTAAGGCAGAGGCTATGGGACAGCCTTCATGGATGTGCTGTCTGACCTGGCTCCTGCTGAAGGCAGTGGCGAATGTGCCCGGGCAGCAGAGTCACAGCTGTGAAACAACAGGGAAGCTTCTCCTGTGAGGAAAAGGGGGGAAATGAGATTGTCCCAGTGTGATGGATGTGGAGGAGACAGGAGGAGAAGCTGAGCAGAGCTGGGGAAGCACGAGCTAGCAGGCACAGCACGGCTCTGGCCCTGTGAGAGCCTCAGCTCTTTGCGCATTTCCTGCAGCCTTGTGTGAGCTTAAGTGGCTTCTTGCTGACTCCATTACAGTCCATGGGGAAAATGATTGTGTTAAAGGGATGGTCTGAAGCAAAAACAAAACCCTTTGAGATTGCCTGGTGCTCAGGAAGGCTTTGGAGAGCAGCTCTGAGACAGCTTTGGCTACTCTCAGGTTACGACTGGCAGCTTTTCCTGGGGAGCAGCTGGGATGGTGCTCTGGCCTGTAAGTGCATCCATGGAACAGATGTTGGGGGGGGTGGTGTTTGTGTGCTCTTAAAAATCTTGTCAAAGTGGTTTTCTTGGCTGCTGGATTATTGTGAAATTCTTTTTGGGATACTTGGATACTCAAAAATTTTAAGTTGTAATGTTAAGTAAGAGGTGTATAGAAAAACAAAATGGGTTTGTTTGCATCTGTAAAATTATTCATTGCTTGCTTGGATTTTGAAATGTGTTAGAAGTGGTTTGTTTTTTTTTTTTTTTTTTTCCAAACTGAGATCAGGTCATTAACAGTGAGCTATTATGTGCCCAGACAAGAATAATTCACTGTTTCATTGAATTCTGGTATTGCCATAAACATCCAAGACTTGACTCAACTCCATCACTTACAACTGTGTTTGCTGAGCTCCTCAGTGCTCTGTTGCTGTTACTGAGGATATGTTGTACTTGGTTCTTTTATTTGATAGATATTTGTGGAGGTGGAGTGTTATTAGCAGTATCTTCTTTGAATTGCATGTAAACAATGATGTGTAAATATTTTAAAGGAAACTTACAGTGTTGACACTGATGGATACCGGGATGCTATATTTAATTTAATATCCCACAGAATCAGAAGAGGCCATAGTGTGCTTATGTGACGGGGATTAAAAAGATGTTAAGTAGTTTTCTCTGTAATGAGATGCTGCTGGAACTCATTTGACCTCTGCCCCCAAACAGAATTACATTACTTTTAAGATTGCCTCTTAATCCAAAGCAGCTAGATAAGATTAGACATATTAGAAGCAAATTTCCACTAAATTTCAAGTTTCTTCTTTTCTATCCTGAATTAGGTGAGGCTGTTTGAAGCTGGTGCTTTAGTTTGTGCTCCCTTTCAGCTTCCTTTCAATCCTGTAAAATGGTCTCCAGTCCTTGTGCTGGAGTAGGTTTGTGAACAGGACTCCTCTGTGTGCCCACAGACCTGGGGTTTGGCTTTTTGTTTGTATGAGTGTGTTTAGTTTTGGTTTGTTGGGGAGGTTTGGTTTCCTGGTAGGTGCTACTAATAGTTTGAAGTAACAAACAGTGTTTCTGACAGGACTTCTCTGTTTCAGTTCTTTTTATTCTTGGCTGTTGGGAGCCTGAGTAACCAGCACTGTGAAGTATGCATCCCAACAGATCAGAAACAGTGCATTTATTGACTGTTGCATTTCCTGGTGGTTTGAATATCTTCCTCATGATGAAGGAGAGGGCAGAATATGCCTCAGAATGTCCAGCACTCCCTGCCTGGCACAGAATTTGATTGCTCCGGATATTTCTTTACAGAAGTAAACCAATATCCTTAAGTAACCTTACAGCAATTATCTGCATCCATTTTCTGTGCAAGAGCTGAATGGGCTGTCAGGAAGCCATAAAAACACTGATGTGAAAAATTGCTTATAACATTGGAAACACTAGAAATGCTTCCATTATTTATTATTATCATGTTGGAGAGATGGTTATAATTTCTGCTGTACCTCCATGTTACTGCAGAACTATATCCCCAAATGTGGTTTCTCTCTCTTCCAAAGCCCAAGGTGCACCTTGGGAAGCAGTGAAGGAAAGCAAATTGTCAGAACCTCTACAGAGCCCATAGGAATATGCTGGAACCTCAAAACACTCCCAGTTATCCCTGCCTTTCCAGGGACAAGCATGAAAGAAGCTATTGCTAATATTTGCAAGCTTACTGGTCTGGAAACTTCCTTGATAACATGCATTAACAGCTGCAGATGAATTCTTTCTGCAGTTTGATTTTTAAATTATTTAAGTTCTTGCTGTCCACAGAGCCCTATTCAAATGCTGTAGAGAGGAAGGTCAAAACTGTGCTTCCCCACACTGCTTGTGGGATGTTCTGGGAAGCTGGGGCTGCCCTGATAAAATTATACATTGGTGGCTGAAGAGAGGAGATCTGTCAGCACATCCTCAGCACAATTACTGGTTTCTCCCCCAAAGATGTACTATATCAGCTGGCAGCTAACTGCTCAGCTGAATTTTGCCCCATGAGTTATTTGCTAAAAGAAAGCTGTTTCTTGGGAATTATTAATTTGATAAATCAAATTGCTGCTAACGTAACTCAGGATACCTTTCTGGCACTGAGCTCCTGCTTGTCACACTGTGCTGGGCTCTAATGGCAGTGAAGGGCCTGGAAAGCAATTTTATTGTTTACTCTTCTGCCTGTGTAAGTAGCTAATTTATCCTAATGACTGGGTGGGACATAATTGGAAGTGAGTTTTCAAGGATGCAATATTCATATTAATTATGAGCGTGAACTGGCCATCAGGAAGACTCTTATCTGCTCGATCCCCTTATTGCTGGTAAACATCATTATGTGTGCTAGCACTGTTCAGCTCTGCAAGTGTGGTGTGGGTGTCTGGTTACCAAAACCATTTCCCTAGAGAGCTTCCAGCAGATCAGAAATGCTTGTGGGGGCTTCCAGGGCTCCTGCCTTTCCAAGATGTGATTTTGTTTTCTTTTCCCAAGGCTTGTATCCCTGAGAAAGGAATGGCACTGGGGCAGCAAAGCTGGATTTTGTTCACAGCTCTGTGTTTGTCTGTTCTGTGTCACCTTGCAGAAGGGGCTTGTTCAAGCAGGGCATGAAGAAGGGCAGTGGTTGCAGGCAGAGGTGCTGGGGTGTTGAAATGCCAACAGCAGCTTGCCACAGGAAACCCTGCTGCAGCCAGCAAATGTTCTGTGCTCTGCTGCTCAAAGGGTAAATACAGGGGGGAAAAATGAAATTCAGCTCTTGTGACACAATAGGGTTTTACACAGTGGAACTGTTAAACATTTCCATTGAGAGAACAAAAATATTCTGTAGCACAGACCCTATCAAATCCATAAAATACTACTACAGAAAGAACATGAAGTGGCAGTATATTGTTGGCTTAGTGTTGCTCTTACCTTTGCTGAAAGAAATGTAAGTATTTCATAATAAAGCTTTTCAAGTCAGAAGGTGACCCGTTGGTTCCCTGTGACCATATTGCCTTCCACACCTCATTCAGCTTCTGGTTTGATACATTTGCAAGGGAAAAATAACTATGGGAAAAGTTAGTCATGGTTGAAGCAATTTCTTTTTTTATTAATGCAAGCACATCCAGTCAAACACAGAATATCCTGCTTTATGGTACAGCTTTATATTTAGCATTTCAGCTCAGAATAGCAAAACACAGTATTTAAGGAATGTATCAAACTTGGGGAGGAAAATAAAAGGGAACCAATGTAGATACTGCATGGATTTCAAGTATATGCTTGGACTGATTGACCGGCAGAGTGCACATTCATGTGAAAGCTCTTTCATACATTTACAGAAAGTGTTCTAAAATTGAATTTCAAATATATATTTTTTTTCCTTAAATTTTAAGCATCCCTTTTAAACTTCAATTACATAAACAAAGCTGATATACAATCCCTCGTATAGTGTCTGACAATGTTACTAGCTAGAACATCTCTGAAAGTGCAAAACACTGTAATAATACAGTATAAATATTCTTTCTGGAATCCAGGGCTGAAGGCCAGTACTTCAGCACAGGAAAAATAGCAGCAGCTCATAAGAATTATCCCTTCCCCTTTCCTGGGCTGTTCTTGTTAACTGTTAGTATTCTACTTCTTCTTTCCTCGTGGTGTAACTTGCTTTTGTTTCTCTTTGATGCCAATGCTATGGGAATGGCAAAATGTTGATTTGTCTCCCTTCCTTACATCAACTTACTCCTCTTATTTTAAGTATTTGCCAAGGGGGAAGTGAAAGAGGGAAAGCATTTTAATTTTTCACCGTGCTCCAGGGCCAATAAAGCAAATTTCTGCTAAGTGCTTGCATCAAACAGTGGCACTGCATTGGCTGTAGGCACTCAGGCAGGGAGAGTCTGCAGGGCTGCAATAAACCAGACCCTCAGTCCAGCAAGTCTTGCCCCTTCTTCAACAGAGGGCAGAATAAGATAAACACCATCCACCTAGAGCTGGCCATTTTTAATGAGTCCTTGCAGAGATCCTCTGCAGGGCTCTGCCAGGGAGGCTGTGACCGCTGCCAGCTTCAGAGGGACTCTTTTTGTTGGGCTTTTTTTTTTAATGAACAAAAAAGAAAATACAAACCAGTCCAATAATCTGGCTCAAGTTATTATCTTACATTCAGTCCTCAAGCCTTCAGAGGGAAAACTACTGGAAAAGAAAAGTAGGCATTTGTGGGTAATAATTTGTTCATTAGACAAAATAGGTTTTAATCTGAGCCTGTTTGCTTTTCTTTCTTAACTCAGAGATCAGTTGACAAAAGTCCTAACTATATATATTTTTTTTTTCTCCCTGGAAACAAATACTTTGAACTTAACAGAAGCTCTTCAGGTACTTAGTCAAATTAGGTGTAAACTCAGTACTCAAAGGAGAAATTAGAAATGGCAAGCATCAGTGGGTTTGCAGATCACCTCTAATTTTGGTGCTGACCTGTTCAAAGGTTTGACTACTTTCTTAAAGTGTTTACCCTTGGATTTCAGTGGGTGCTGTCCCAGACAGGTAATCATGGCTTGCAAAAGGCTAGAGAAACTTACATTCCAAGTGTGTCTTTGTTTTAATTGTCTGTAAGTGCAGACTGGACTTTTCAAAGGAACCAATGAAATTAAATGACCAATTCACAGCAATGAACTCTTCTTAAGGTTTTTGGGAACTTTAGCCTTAACTTCAAATTGGACATCTGAGTTTACTTCCCCTTCTTCCCTGGCCCATGCTGACTTTTTTTGTTTTCCAAAGACTCTTTTTAGAAAAGCATTTTAGGCCTGTGTTGCAGAGATTATAATCTAGGTTAGACATTCTTCTCTTCAAACAGAACAAAAAAAAAAAAATCCCTGATTTTTCAAAAGGAAAACACAAACTATTCTGACAGCCAGAATGTAAAGGATAGTTCCCAGAAGTATGAACACTTAGACATGTGTGCATCCCCACAAGTGCACACACACATACTCACACACAAACACACAGACCCAGCAGTTACCCCCTCTCACCTCTTTACATCACGTAACAAAAATAGGTTTGCTGCACCATCAGTGTTACAGGCAGGTATACTCTACTTCATGTGCCATAATTCTCCACTTTATTTAAAAAGTACATTGTAGCTGGTTTGGAGACATCCATATTTTTATTTCCCTTACTTCCAGCCCTGTCAGAAGGTACAACTACACAAGCTCAGTACCTTGTAAGGCACTATTTGCTGATGGAGGAGAGGAACAAACACTTGTGAACAATTCTGCTGATTTGAAGGAGAGCCCTCATTTCAAAGCTAGGGAGACATACTGAGTGTTCTGCAGGATACTGGTCCAATGGGGTATTTAACCTGAACACTGGCTTCAGTTAGGATGTGTGTTTTAATTTGTATTTGTTTTGGTGGAAGTAATAAAAAATAAAAATTTGGATGCTGATAGAATAAGATACCATCTCCCATGATACATTTCATCTCTGAGAACAGGGCCCTGCCCTTATATTTAAAATAAAAAACCAAAACCCTTCAGTAAGTGCCTTAAGGTTGACGTGTGAAATATTTACCACATTTTATTTCATAAAAGTTACTGTATGTACAAAACAGACCTCATCCAGTGAGGTCTTTCTTAGCTCAGTCCAAGTCTTTCATTCAGGTTGTAAAAACATGTCCATTAGATGTGCTTTGAAGTCTGCAAATCTGATCCGAATTTCTCAGGCTCTATTAAGAAGAGTTGTCCTAAAAGATGAAGCAATAAAAAAATTATCTTTTCTATCCCAACAAAAAGGTTTTCATTTTTGGCAATAGATCTATCTGGCATCACTAGCTGACAGCCTCTCTTCAAGGGATAGATTTTCAACTGCGAGAAACTGGAATGAATCTGTGCCTTTCAGCAGAGATGCTGACATTAAATGAGGTGAAAATGTAACTTGCATAACGTTACCCCAGGCCCCTGGGATCAGCTCAGGCATGTAGCACGTGTTGTGTGTCTGTCACCCCAAACCACTGCAGGCTGGGCACTGCTGGGTTTAGTGCATGGGGACATCCCAGGAAATGCTGGGATCAGTGGGAAACTGGCTCTTGTCTGGGAAAATGCAGTCCCCATGCAGGCTGTGTTCATCCCCTGTCTGCTACAGGTGTGTCAGATCTTCACGTTCAGCACAATTCACAAACCCCTCTGCCTTGGTTCAGTGTTGGAAAAACTCTAATTAAATGATCTCATCATGTACAGGGGAGTGGTGCTTCCCATTCTCAGGAGGATGAGGAGTCTTTGAGAGTTGATCCCTTAGGGTAGGCTGACAATTACCATATTCCTAGAAATTTTCATCCTTTTATATGATTTGTAAGAGCATCACTGTGATGAGAGCACTTTGTTAGTGTCTCTATAGGTTTGTTCCCCTGAGAAAATCGTGTCTGAACGCTACTACAAATGAGATTATTTTACTCTATTTAATAGCCTAAATAAAGGATATTGTTTTTCACAACCCCAGCAGTGATCTTGCAGCCTCAACAGATCTGGCTGCAAAAGCTGTATCAAAATCCAATCCCCACTGAAATTTTTTCAGATTGAAATTTTGAAGGAAAAAGAACAGTATTATGGTTTTAGGCTGGGTATGCAAATAGGACAGAAGAAACTGATGGCTGCATGCCTCTGTGTGTCTGCAGAAAGACTCATGTTCTGAGGAAGCTTCATACCTGAGTGTTTTCCAGCTGTCTTTTTCCATGTGGTTTTCTGGACCTTCACTTTCAAAGGATGCAATGAACAGAGCTGGTAAAAAAAAAAAAAAAAAAAAAGTAGTAACAATCAGATACATTAATTCTTTACCCCAGGGAAAAAATCTAAGGGTTACAATATAGCAGATGTAACTTATGGAATTTGTTCTCATCAGAAGCAACAGGAAATTGATAACACTTAGAAAATTACTAGTAAAATATGGTTTTAGGTGTATATATTTTTCATCTGCATATTTTGGATTTTAACACATAGAAAGACTCACTATAATGTTCAGCAAAGGATTTTACCTTCTTCACTATAAATAGGTGCTGTAAGTAGATAGGTCTGGATTTTCTTGTCTTTTTCAAAAGGACACTCAACCTGCTTCCATGTCAGGAAATCATGAATCTGTCTTGAAATTTCCCAGAACTTCTGCATAAAGTAATTAAAAGAGTATTATTAAAGTAGTACTTGTTTTATTTGAAATATTAGTTCATTTCTATTTCAGAGCCTCTCAGTCTTGTTCTTTATGCTGCTTTTCTTATTGCCCCTTACTCAGACTTAGATGGAATTGGTCACAGCACCAGCCTGACAGAATTTAGGAAGTATTTGGACAGGGCTGTCAGGCACATGGTGTGACTCCTGGTGTGCAGGGCTGGGAGCTGGGCTTGGTGATCCCTGCGGGTCCCTTCCAACTCTGCATATTCTGGGATTCCTTGCTGTCCTATCTTCTTATGGCTCCCCTCCTTTTCCCCTCTTGCTGCTGGTTCCTCACCTGCTGCCAGCCTCAAGTTTAGGGACAGCGTTATCTCAGCCCACCACGTGATCTTTTGCCTTCAAGTTTTTTCATCATCAACCTTTCCTTCCTATATAATAGTGCCTATTTTCTGTGTGGAGTGTCTAAATTCCTGTGACTGCAACTGGACAGTAAATAGTTTATTTGCTTTACTTTTTACATTTCCAAACTTCAGTTTAAATGAATTGTGACATATCTGATCTTTTCAGAAAGCACTCTTTAAATTTGGGAAATCACAGTAACATACAGAAACATTTAGATATCCTTTCCTTCGTAGGATTTTAAGAAACCTGTAATTACTCAGGGTTTGCCCTGTATTTTCTAAATCTGTAATTACTCAGGGTTTGCCCTGTATCTTCTGTGTGCCTCTCTCCACTTACACAACCTTAATGATGACAATAAAGTGTTGTCTATAAGTTCTTTTGACAGACTGTGGTCGCTTGGACATGCATGTTTATTAACTGGGGAGAGAACCCAGAAGCTGCAGAGCCTCCCTTGCACACCTGATAAACCCCATTGCAGCCAGCCAAACTGAGGAGGTGAAATCAGCTAAGGCTGATGACTCAGCCTGAAGTGACCTGTTAAATTTGGTCAGACATGATGGCTTGCTGCCACAGAAAAGCAGCTGCCGGCTTTCCCAGAATCTGATTCCAATCAAGTCCCCGGGGTATGACAGCACTGGTGTGGCCTGCGCGGGCACCGAGGGACGGGTGGAGCGCTGGGGCCAGGCTGCAGCGCCCCAGCTTGGGGTGGCACAGCGCTCTGGGCAGCAGCAGGGCCCACCTTGAAGTTGATCTGCCCGTTGGGCAGGCGGTTGGTGTGGATCTTGTGCAGGAAGTAGATGTCCTTGATGAAGAGGTTGAAGACGGGGATGACGATCTTCTCGCGGCTGCTGTGGGCGCCCTGCGAGCGCTGCGCCGCGCCCTGCAGCGCCGTGCGGTAGTTGCAGAAGTTGCTGGAGGGGTCCATGTGGTGCTGGTTTTGTACAGGGGGGAAAGGCAGACAAGTAATACACGTTTCTAAGAATTAACAGCTTTGCTCTAGCCATCAGAGTTTATTCTTTGTAACTTCGTTTGTTCCCTATTTAAATTTTCAGGGTAGGGTAGCTTTATACTGATCAGGTCTGGGTGCAGGTTTTTATAACTTCTGCCTTGCTTGGAAGGAAGGCTCTGTACTGGCTTTGCATCTATTCCATGAACAAAGCAGACCGAAAGGAAATCATTAATGACTCTCAGGGAGAAAAAACCAAACTTCTCCTTCGCTGTCACCTCTGTTTCTGATGATGGTTTCAGTCAGGTTCTGTTTCCATGCAGGTCCCCACTAGGTGGAGTCCTCCCATTGGTTTTAAAGGCAGCATTCGCTGGAGTGGAGACTGCCTCGAAGTTAAATGGTCAAAAATACTCTAGGAAGAAATAATCTAGAGAGAGCTGGCATCCACTTTTCACTGCAGATAAGTAGAGAGTTTGAAATGGAGGAAACACTCTCACAACGTTTATGTGCTGGTGACCACTGACAGAGGTGCCTGCTCTCTGACACAGTAGCTAGCAGAGGTCTGGATGAAACTATTTGGTGGATTTCTACATGAAGTCCAAACTTTATACATACCTCTAAAACATCAAATTTGGCTGTTTTGACCTTGGACCAGGTTTTCTTTAGCCGTGCCACAGGGCTCAGGTTCATGCCAGCTGAATGCAGGGAGAAAGGGGACAGAGAAACAACTGAGTTGAAAAAATACTGGGCTAATATAACTGTGCTTATGTATCACCAGCACACATTCTGGGAGGTGTCTCAGGCTGACAAGCTGCAGCTGAAGCTCTCCCACCCACACAGGAATCTGTCACTGCAGACTCTGTCCCTGGGGGAGTGTGCAGGCTGATGTGCTCGGCCAATTGAGGGCAAGTGTGAGCAGTCCTGCCAGTCAGGCTGTGAAATGGAGATGCCTTTTGCCATCTGTGCTAAGGATACTCACAGATAATAGCCATCATGGAGTTGAAGTTTCCAATGTTGAAGCATTCTCTTGCCACATCAATGAAAAATTCCACCATTCTTGTGCGCTGCTTTTTCTTTACAACCTGGAGAAACACCCAAGAGGGAAGGGATGGTCTGAGTTTTGGATAGGATGTCCAGCCAAAGGCACTGGAGCAGATTCAGCGAATAGACATTTCAAGACTTTGTCCAGCTAAATCTTAACATGGGCCTCAGGATTTTTTGTTAAGAATAATTTTTAATAAAACAGCAGAAATATTTGGGATGACTACCAACTACTTGTGTAGCTCTGGGGGAGTGCACATCTTTGTTTATACAGAAAAGTCCATGTCTTGGGCAATTCTGCATAAACAAGCTGGACACTTTCAGCCATTTCCTGTTACTGGAAAAGGAAGACAACATGACATTGCTATCAGAATAAATGCAAAACATTTAAACCTCTCAAAAATGGGGGAAGCATCAGACAGACTTAAAGTCAGGGGCATGGAACCTAAATATGAGAGAAAGCAGCTGCCACATCCTGCTTTTCTGGTTCTGCTGCATGTACTCCTGAATGACCTGTTGAGAGCAGGCAGTGAGGATGAGCAAACACACAAATTCCCACCCACACAGATGTGCACAGCATCAAGCAACTCATGCTAAGCATCTCATCTGCAAATTCTTTTATAAACTGCAAAGCAAAATTAATTATTGCCCGGATTGCATTCATTCATGAAAATATTTTCCCTGTTTAAACCTAAAAGTTCTCTCTGGCTTAAATAAAAATGGCTCCTAAGCAGTGACTGCAGAATCTCTGACCTAAGTACTTAAGTTTCTGTCATATCAAAAGAAAATGGTTCAGTAGTCAAAGGTCTGGCTTAGCCCTCAGTGTGCTAAAACCTTTCTTTGATGGTTTCTTAAATGTATGAGCCCTACCAGCCAGCTCTGCAAGTGCCTTGGTGTGCTCTGCAAAGCATTTCTGAGAGCAGGAAATCTTAAGAGATTAGGATCAGTGCACTGATTTCATGAAAATGCAGCAGGCATTGGCATTCCCATGGAAGGGTGCCTGACCAAGCAGGAATAGGGAAAAAAATTCCAGTTTGCTAGAACTGGAATTAATAGAAATCTAAAAAATCATAATAAGAAGCTAAAAAGAACATACATGGGGAAAAAAAAAAAGGTATCTGGGCAGTACACCTTCCATTTCTTTGCCTATTATATGACAGAAGTTACCTTAACCTCTAGTAAGGTTTTTCCTCCTCTCTTACTTTTTTTAAACTTTGCAATAATACACTTTCTTTCAAGATTTTAAAGAAAGCTTATTCTTGGTTTTTCTACAACGAATGTTGTATGAATAAAATAAATGAATATAAATTTAAAAATCAATATATCACAGTGCTAATGTTATCTAAATGCAGTGGAAAGACAGCTGTTTATTGGTAAATCTGCATTTAAAGAGGAATATTTTTAAGAATCTTTTGCTGTATTTAAAAATGGATAAACCCTAAAGAGCTCCCAACTCAGTCCACACAAGTTCCATTTCACTGCATGACTAATGCAGTTGCACAAAATTAAGGAATATATGCAAAGTCAAACATAGCCTTGAACTCTTAATCATATGAGCATGCAAATAATTTAATGCTTGAATAATGCTATTATCTTTAATTGCACTGCTAATGTGTAGATCTCATTTAGACCACTGCCTGCCTCTTGTCCTTAAGGCAGGATCCCTTTGCTATCTCATTTTCTGTGCACACCTACCCGACAAATCTCTGTAGCCACCAGCATGCTGAGACAATTGAACCAATTGTCATAGGCCTCCAAATTATAGGTTTTGGTCACGTCACTTCGGCACTGTAAGAGAACAGGTCACCTGTTAAATCTCTCCTGTGGCATTATAAAGTCAAAGTTTACCCAAGGATAAACTTCCTTTTCATATCTTGGCAAAATCTTGTTGTATGTGTTTTAAGGCATGAGCTTAAGGAAGCTTAGGAAATGTCAGTCTTTGTTGCACAGGGTGTACTCAAATTATGGAGTTATTATTCTTTACCCTGGTTCAGCTATGTTTCTTTTTCCATCTGTACACCTTTCTGTACCTTGTGATTATCCAGGGAGTCCATGTGGCTGACAATCTGCATCAGATCCTCTGGGTAAATGTTGCTCACCCTTTCCTGTGTTTGGAGAGAGGAGAGATTGTCATTGTACAGACAAACAGAGTTCTGTGGAAACAAATCAAAGTTAGGAGAACATTTAGGTAACTTTATCTTCCTAGAGCAAGGTGCTTTTATCAGTGTACCTCAATGATCTTGTTCATTACCTGACTTGGTATTTTTTTATTAAAACACTGGAGACTCTCAGTGAAGCCACAGCCAAACTCCTATTGATGAGTACGTTAATAATGTTAATATTTATTAAATAGCAAGCACGAGTCTCCACCCCAGCAGTCTCACCAGCTCGATGTAGGTCAGCTGCTGTGCCAGGATCAGAGGGTCACAGCACACGCTCAGGATGTCCTTCTGGGTTGACTGGGGCTTGGTTTTGAGGATGGTGCCCTTGTCAGTGACAGGCTGCCGGAATTTCTCTCTGATTTCCTGGTACTGGCTCCGTGCAGAAAGGGCCATCAGGAGATTCTGTGTCATCTGGCTAATGATCTTTTTCACTGTTCCATTTTCCTAAGCAGAAGGGAGAAACAACAACTGCTGAAAACCTTTAGCTATTGCAGACATGGATCACCAGAGAATTTCTGCCTGGGAAAAATAAATGCCTATTATCCATTTTCTTTCATCTTTTCTGAGCTGATCGTTTTGTGACAAATGACCTTGTCCTAAATACCCACACAACTCCATAATGACACTGCTCTGCCTGCCTTCCCAGCCCTGCTTGCCTTGGCTGGCTGGTCTGCTCCTTTGGGGAGTGCCCCATTTCAAAGGCATCCGTGTCAGCAGCTGGAGTGGGCATGGGAAAGGTGCTGCAGCTGCTTGCACAAGGCTCCCTGGAACCCCTGTGCACCAAGGGCCAAAAGCTCTCATCCTGATCACACCCACTGATGAATCCAGTCTGTCCGGCCCAAGCAGAATCCAGGGAATTCACATAATGTCCAGGAATATACCCCTACAATATCCTAACTTAGCTTTGAACAGCTAAGTATCCAAATATTTATGTTAGAGCACAATATACATCATGTTCTCAGAAAACTAAGATGCCTTTCCTGTTTATCACGTACAGATTTTAAACAAAAGATTTGTAAGGATTCATTGAAAGGTAAAGCCACAGGAACACAATCCATCTGCTCAGTGTTTTGACAACTAAGGTGATTTTTTTTTTCTGCCACTGTGTCCTACAGACATTTCTCTGAGATCACCCCCAAAGAGCTAACTTGATTGCTTTCCTACTCCTCCACCCTGTCTGCTACTGCTTTAAGTGACCCAGGTTTCTTCTGCTGCTAGGAGAATTAATCCAACCAGACAGTTCTTTTCCTCACGGAATCATTCTCTTGCTTTCATGCAAATTACTTTTCTTGAAGTTAACCACAAGGTTCACTTGTGCCAGTCCTCACTAGACAGAACTGCAATGAATCTGTGACCATTCAAAGGAGCCACTGCTGTGCAGTGATGGCTGAAATTATGCAGCAGATGTGGGAGATGACTACCAAATACTTGTGTATTGCCTGTTATAATTAAGCAATAATGGTGTCAGAATGGTGCTTTACAAGGCAATAATCTGACTCCCAAGTGAAATCAAATGAAAAGCTGAAGGCAGTGTAGCTCATCTTGAGGCTGGATTACTGCTGAACAGCAGCTGTCTGGAGTCATTTCTGATACTGTGCTACAAGTGTTCAGAAATGCCAAGGGAGCCTGGTGGAGGGGACTGAAACAAAGCAGAATTCTCCTCTCTTATGCTGAGCTTTCCACTGTGAATGGTTTGCCTTCAGCCACTGTGCCTGCATTGCCCACGTGTCTGGGAGGAAGCAGACCTGCTGACAGGATGGCAGAAAATGACACTTGAGGATAGGTGAGAGTGTTGCAGATGTTATGTAAAAGTGAGGAAAGAAACTCAGCCATGAAAAGCTGTGGCTTACTTAAGCTATTATGAATTCATTAGCATCCTAATGCTTAGACAGTTGTCCTTAGGAGTTTTAGCAGTTTCCTTTCATTACTAGTTTTACCCTAATTTTCCCTACAACTTTGGAAGATAAGTCAATGACTGTACAATGACTTGTACCTGTTTGAGTTAATTTTTATGTACTTTGGGGCGGAATCCTGGCTGTAGCTTTAGCTATTTGGTATGCTGCTACCACCAGGACAACACCTGACTGCTTTGTATGAGTTCTCAGGTGACTTTCTAACTTTATGTATAAAGAATAATGACCTAAGGGGATTTGAAAAAGTTTTAAAATACAAAACAAACCCCCAACCTTTACCATAATTCCATGCTGAAGCATAATTCAGTGTGCTAACAAGAACTTAGAGTGAGAGCTGCTTTTTGTCAGTGTCAAATTAGTATTTCCTAGGGGTCAGATGAAGCACAGCTCTCCATTGGTGAACTTTGACTAGCCTTGTTAAGGGGGTAAATGAGGTGGTGCTCTAATTAATGGATGCTATCAGATGCCTCAGATACCACAGCACGGAGCCATCCCACAAAGATGGGTTTTTCTCAAATGACCATTATTCATACATAGGAGTGGGAAGGAAGAGGGAGAAAGAAAGGGCACAACTCTTTTCTAGTTCAAAGTAACAGACAAATTAAATACTGAGACAGAGATGCTAAATAAACGTCTGCCAAGTCCCCTTTCACAGTGCCAGCATCCACCCCTTGGCCCCTCTCTGCAAGGAGAAGAGAAGGCTGTAGTCCTGTTTCCTCTTCCCCTCCTCCTGAGGCACTGACATTCTCATCCTGCACCCACACAAACATCTCTGCTGATGCAACAAAACTGATGTACTTCCTTCACCTCTCTGTGCTGTCCTAGCCCTGACTCATGCCCTGCTGTCAGACCTGTTGTTCATTTTCTCTCTACTTGAATCAACAAAAGCACATAACACAACTGTCTTCCTGGTTCCTCCTAATTGTTCTCAAAAGTATCTTGAACTGTGGGTTTAAAAACAATAAGTTTCTACTTCTACAGAAGTAAGACTTCATATGTGTACAAGCACTTTACAACTAATTCTCTTGCAGTTCTTGATTATACTATTATACTCTTCTGTCTGTCTATTGCTGTTAACAGTGACTTTCTCAATGAACAAAAAGTGTAGGCTTTGTGAATGTTGGGAAAGAGCCAACAAAAACCCCAACAACCCCCCCTCCCCTGGCCTCCTTGCCCCCCCCCCCCAAAAATTAACACCCCTTGTTTTATTCCTATTCACTTTATCTGTTTGCTTTAGGTTTTTTCAAGGCTTAGTTTTCTTCACAGGCTAGAAACTCAGAGCTGTTAGACTGGTGATGGACTAGCAGAGCTCAAAGATAACTTATTTGTGGAAATACTGTGCCTGCCACCTGAAACACTGCAATAAACTTTTTATTGTTAGAAGCTGGGAATGAGGTGCTAAATAATAAACACCTTCACCTTGGCCAAGAGTACATGTGATACAGCTAGCTGGTGTGTCCTGCAGAACTTAGACATACAGAGCAGGGACAATGTACAAAGTATGCCATGTACAATGTGCAAAGGATGTTCTGTAATTCATTATTAAATCCTCTTGAGCTTTTCTAGTTGCTGTCCTTTCTCCTTCTGCACCACGGTCATTTTTCATATTGCCAGGACTATTTTCTCTCTTCTCCTTACACGTGGTGATTAGATGTAGACAGCTCCTGCTAATGCACCATTAAGTCCATCAGCAGCCCATGTCCTGTGGTTACCCTGACAACTCAGCAAGGGCTGCTGTGGCTCATTTAGGAAATGCTGCCTGCAGGATTGCACAGAACGTGGCACAGTTCATGGAACAGTTGACAAATACTTTAGCACTTAACTTTTCTTTCCTTCCCACCCCTACCTCATCACATTGTGTGATCCTGTGAGCAATCTCCTTCAGCTCTTTCATGGATTTTTCATCTTGGAAATCATAGGGGAAAGTTTCAGTCCATTCCTTCAGGAGCTGAATGATTTTGGCAGCGAAGGATTTTAGTTTTGCCTAGAAAGAAACAATGAGTTGATTACTGATCACAGACCTGTTTGACTGCAGATTAATTGGCTGATAAAGGATCACAGAAATCTGGAAACACCCTTGAAAATACTTTGCATTAATAGTAGGTGATAGGGACAAAAAAAGAGCATATTTAACTGTGCACTAGATTCCTAAATAGTATCATTTACCCTCCTTTCATGGTGATGTCTCTTGGTGATGTCTCTTACCAAACACTATGAAGACATTTTCAAGGTGAGTTGTATAAAACCAGGAGGACGACAGAGCAGTTCAAGTGGCTTGTTTAACTGATGTCCATGGGGTTTAAGCTGATTTGTGCCATCTGAGGCAGCAGTTCTGCAATGTTTGAACTCAAATGTGTACAGACCGCAGTACTCTACCAACCATGTTCACGAGAAACATTCACAAAGACATTTCAGTTCTATAGAATTTATCAGACCATCCAGGCTGGGCTGTATATGAAATCAATGAATGACAGGAAAGACGTGTGTGTTCCCTCCATGACGCGTAAATCCAAACAGACTTTGACAATAAAAGGTATTGGCTTCTGTTCAAAAAGCTATCAACCACTGAAAGGGCAGAGAGTATTTTTTTCTTTTTTGGTTACCTGTGAATCTTCTAAGGTTTTCGATCAGCTAGACCTGAATTGGATGCCAGTTACTCCCCTCTCCATTGCATCAATGGACAGCAGCATCAACACATCCAAGGGAGCAGTCTTGTAAAATTGGGAGTGTGAGTGCTAAGAGCACTTGTAATGAATAAGAAGAATCAGACCTTAATTTAGGCTATATTTATCCTCCTACCCAGCTTGTGATGCAGGGAGGAAAAAGAGGAAGCTCTGTTTGTGTTCCCTGCCCAGCTGTGTGAGTGCAGAGCTCCCTGAAGGCAGCAGCTCCCTGTCCCAGCCCAGCCCTTTGGGGACAGGAGGGCTCTCAGCATGGCACTGCCACCTCAGGAAACTGCTGTAACAGACAATGTCTCCCAATACTGGTAGCAGCTCCTGCCAAAACAGCACCTCATCATGGCCTGTCCCAGTTTATCTAATCAAAACCAAAGGTCAATGAAATTAGGCTGGTTTGGTTTTGCTTTTTTGTTTAATATCTCACCATTGTATAGTCAGTGATATTAATAATCATTGATAAAGAACTTTAAAGTTAAACCATGCACCCTTGAATCCTCAATCTGACAATTAGTCAGTGCCTCCTTGTAGGTCTAGAGGGAATTTTCTTGGGTTGTTTTGGTTTTTTAAGACCTGCAAATTGCTAGCATGCATTTCCTACCTGTTTTTATTGACAGTATTTAATTGATGCTGCTAATGAGATAAACACAGAATAGCTGCACAGGGAGGGCAAAACCAAAACATCCCCACTCTTTTTGCCAGCAGTGTCTTTGCATTCCTGCAAAGCAGTGTCTGTCAGTGCCCCTCGTGTGCAGCTTCAAGCTCTTTCTCAGCAGTGTGGGACAGAGTTCCAGATCACAGCTGCCTGCACTCCAAACTCCCACTGTCATCTGCCTTGGGGAAAAGACAATTTATACTTATTTGCCAGGAAAGGCATGGAGCCTGACATTATTAAAAGAATAATCTGTAGGTGGTGATGGACCATTAATTAGCCAGGGAGTGCACTTCCATTCAATTCAAGTGAACAGGTATGTGCCAACTCCACTTCTGTTTACCAAAAGCTGCTACAGAACTGTTGTTTAGTACTTTTAGTATTAATCATTCTTTTTAATTTTTGGAACTGAAAAAGGAGTGGTGAGGGCAGAAAGGTTTAAAAATCTCACCTTAGGCTATGGCAAGCATCTCCATATGAATGTTCAGTTCATGAAGAATTTATAGCTTGTCTAGACTGACCCCAGCAGCTGAAGAGACTCCATCAGTCATAGCTGATGCTTTTTTAATGCTGCTGTGTCCAAGACTGCTCCTTAAAGCCAGGAGCCCACTGAAGAGGTAGCATTAGCTGTCATGATTTGAAGTAGGTGCAGCATAACACCAGGCTGCATTTCATCAGTATTTTTAGGCACTGATATAGAAGGAAAAGGTTTGAAGGAGAAAAATGAAGCTTTGTTCTTGTAGTACTCAGCCAAATTACCCCAAACTATACTCCTTGTACAGTTTAAAACACAGTGATTTATGAACACTGACTTCACATCTCTTGTATCTATTTTTGAGTTGTTATAGTTTGCCCTCTCTGTATGGCAAGCCAGGCATGTTGCAAGACAAACTGCACTCTTCAGGTTTAAAAAAGATCAGTGTTTCATCAGATGCCTTCTAACACTGATGACAATAAGGTGCACACTTTGTGAGAGCAGTGCTGGGAGGCTCAGTGCAGCAGAGCAGGGCATTTCTGTTCCATGTGCACTCTGGTGGAGCCAAAGCAGCAGGACAGGACAGGCTCAGTGCACGTGGTGGCCCACATGGAAACCTCACAGACCTGGGGGCAGCAGCAGCAGCACAGTTCCCTCTCTGCCATGGCTGCAGTAAACCCACCAGCCTGCTTTTCTCCAGCCCTGCTCCAGACATGAGCCTCCCCTTGTGAGCTCTCTGGAGTCCATGGGAATACTTCTCCCACAAACATTTCTTTGAGAAGAGAAATAACTCTATTAATTCAAGTGTTCTGTGGATTGACCCTGTTCCTGAGACAAGACAGGACTGAAAAACAACTCCCAATTAGAAAGGAGGGCAATAGGAAAGATTTAATGGCAATGACCTGGTTATACGTATTTTTCCATTTTTAAAAAGGAGGACTTACTGGCAAAAAAACCCCAGAGGAAATAGTAACTTTTGAAGGGATTATATATATATAATTTGTTTTATATATATTTATATATATATGTTTTTGTTTTGTATATATATTTGTTTTGCCTGTCAATATATATATATCCTTTTGAAGGCTATATATATATATATATATACAGGTGAAACAAACTTAATAGAAACTAACTTCTATGTTCTCTTTTTATTTCTTACTTCTTTAACTTGAGCTATATGAAATACTCAAGCTGCAGGAACATTGTACCACAGGTGTAAGAACAGGGTTTTTATCCACTCAATAATACAAGTGACTTTTCCCTCATAATCTTGCTTGATACCTTCCAATCTCTAATGCACTTATGGAGAATTAAATTTTTTCCTTTATGGTCAATCTTAACTACTGACTTGTATGTTATAATTGTTGTCTTAAACTGTGAAATTCTTGCTTTTTATGAGTAGTTAAAAGGACTCTAAGCAGACTCCAAGACACCCCAGAGTGTTTTTCTTTGCAAACCACTTTTTCTGGGTTGTATTTCTGTAGAACTCCTTGGCTAGCCAGAAATGTCAAAACCAAGAGAATGATAAGGATTGTGGTGTGTAACCTCAAAACCTGCTTGCTTGCCACTTCTTCAGCTGACATGCTATCCAGGCACCAAGTTGCTCAGCTTATCTTAAGAGATTTGCATAAGCAAACTCGATCAGAGATGCTTTAACTGCTTTTTGTCAGCTATTTCCTGCTTTGCAGCCACTTAATTACAAGGTGCTGGTAGCTGATGATACCTTAATGGATTATGACTGTGAATACTTGAGAGTATCTCGAGTGAAGAGTTTGTATGCTGTATGTGAAATGAGATTTTATTTGTTGCCATGTGGAAAAACAAATGTTTGCAAGTGCTTGTGGCCAAACTATTCTGTAAAACATACAGGGGTTGGCAGTAGAGGGCAATGAAGCAGTAATTTGGGAGGAATGGCAGAAGTTCATGCAGGGTTTTCCCAAGAAGTTTGTGTTTAGAAGGCAGGAAGAGCTTATATTAAGGAGGTAGGAAGGGATCAAGGGCATAACAGAAAGGGCAGCCAGAAAAGCATGTGAATGAAAGCCACCTCCCAGAAGGGATTTATTGTCACCCTGCTGCTTGCTGGGTGTCCTGCAGCCCATGTCCAAGGTGCCAGCAGGTGTAAGAGTGTGAGCAGCAATATGAGCTGCTCTGTCTGACATTGGGATGTGATGCTATTTCATTTCTATCAGGAATCCAGGACTTTTTAACAAGCCTGCTGAGAAGCCACACTAATACTGCTTTACAATTAGCATTGTATCTCTGAACAGCCAGCTGATTTAGTCCCCAGAGGTGGCTTTCATTTGAAAATCTCTGAAGGGCACTGTTATTCACAAAAGTTTCATTTACATCCCATTCATTTTAAATCCAAGTATTTCACAGATGTTTTTGGACACTTTCTACTCACTGCAGTCTTTTCCTGCATAGGTCTACAACTCAGATTGACTCATTCTGTATTTCAGATGGTCCTGGCACCTTTTAGAGGTCCCCATCTCTGTTGTTTAGTTACATGTTGTGGAGGAACCATTACAACTTAGAGAGCAGAGTTTGTTCAGTCGCAAATTAAGTTTGGCAGTGGTGCCAGGGACAATTATCACCTCTGAGTGCAAAACTGGATGCAGTGGTCCTGGCACCTTACATCCCTGACCCTTGGTTTCCCCAGCACCTACAGGATGAGCTGTGCAGATATTTGGAGAGCAGATCAGGGCACTGACCTGGATGAAAATCATTTTGTACATGGTTAGTTTGTCCTGTGGAGCAATGTTGTGACATTAATAAGAGAAGAGGATGCACATCAGGAATAGTATGGGAGAAAAAGCCCTTGTGTCAGTGTTGCTGTTAAAAACTCTTTATTGACAAACCAGAGTTGCCTTTTGTGCTCCTCACTCAAAGTGCTGATATACCAAGGAGAAAATAAAATGGGGCTACTAATGTGCTGATGATTAGGAATGGGAGCATGCAATGTCTCATCAGAGAAGAAAGGTTCCAAAACATGCCCAGGATTTGAACAATTTAGGTCTTTACTTGTTGGTACCTTCCTGTTTCTGTCACTCTTATTTGCTGCCCAGCTTGGACTTTTCTGGAACTTCAATTTCAAATAATTGAAAGTCTTTCAATACACACTTTACAAATGGTTACACTTAGATGGATGTAAGTTTGGTTTAAGTGATTGTAATAAAACATTTCAGTGCAGGTCACCATTTTAAATAAGTGCATCTCCTAATTTTTGTGAGAAGTAACTTTCTGATTTACTGCTATACTGAGTTCAAACACCCCAACAGTAACCTGCAGCAGAGGTTATTGTTAACTCTAATAGGATGGTGAGCCTGACTTGAGAAAGCGATTTTCTGGAATTTGATTTTCCTTACTTGGTGAAAGCTCAAAAGTGCAAAGCAGCTGCTGGGCAGCTTTCATGGCACACACACTGCTCCAGTGCACTGCTCCCCTGACCTGCAGCTGCCTGGTGAGGCAGGACAGAACCCCTGCAAATGTGGCCAGCAAATAAAGATACCTCAAAGAACAAGACACAAGTACAAGTGCATCCAGCAACAATTCCCAGTTACAATTTTGTATTATTCTTTATCAGTCTATTTAGCTTTACAATGAGGAGAGAGTGGAAAATAAATGACAGCACCACAAGGAACTGAGGGACACAATGGTCCATTTACCTTTTCTGCCTCAGTCCCCACTTCCAGCTGCTGCTTCTGTTTAATGCAGATCTGCCCCACTTTAGCCAGGAGCTCATGTGGGTGAATGAAGACTCGTGAGCTCAGTAGGAAAGTGAAGATGTAAGTTCTCTGTGGAAGGAGAAAAAAAGAAAGAAAAACAAGTTGAAAAGCTTTAGCAAAACTAATGTGTCTTCCCTGGAAAAATTAATCTGTAAACGATGAATGTAACTGCTTCATTTAAAATTTCTATAATTTTTCCTGTCTCCAGAGAAATGTAGGTCCTTTTTAGCTCTGTTGAGAGGAAATGCTATGGGCTTCAAGGCTGTTAACTGTGGGGTTTTCCAATTATCAAATGGTTTCCTTTTAAAATGCCAGACTCAGTGTGCTTAATTAGTCATCACTTACCAAAGCCACAAATGAAATACATCTAATGAAGGGTGTTATGACTCTTAAACACCATCATTTAATGCTGCTTGGTTTCTTCAAGAGTGATTGATTGTTTCTGACTGAGCTGCAGAAAACTACATGATGTATATCCAAACCACAGCTGTAATTTCTTCATGTTTGGGGATTTTCATTCCTTTCTCCCCACAATCACTGACAAAAGTTTTCATTTAGTTTGGGGGCACAGGACAATAATTTAGTTTTTAACTTGACTTTATTTATCTGGGGCTTGTTTCAGAGTCTTTGAATATGAACACTGCTAATAAATACCAGCAATGAGGATGTCTCATTAGAAATAGGCTCTCCATTCTAATTTAAAAGCTGTGATGCACTGTATAGTACTCTGGACAACTATCCATTGTACCATATTCTGGATCATTTAATTGAAGTGAGGATGATTTTTTGTCCCAGTCTTTTTCCAGTGCTTGAAACTGGGCTGCTGCATTGGGCTGTAATTGCCTGACTAATGACAGTAGCACCTCATAAGTAATTCCATTTTTCCCCTCAGGCTTTCTGGTAAAATTCGGAGTAGGGAAATTATAGGGGATCTCCTTGACACTGTATTTCAATTAACCTTTGTTATGTTTGAAATGTGCACTGTTACTTTTTCCATATTTTAGTAATGTGACTTTGCAGGACACAGCCAAATACATTTAAATAGTCCCTGTGAGCTTGTACCACCTTGGGCTGGGCAAGTAAATTAAGACAGTTAAAATGTTAGGGCCAGTTGTCTAAAATATGGTAGCTCTACTATCTGCTACCAAATTCTGCTGCTTGCAGTTGCTTGAAGGAGCTTATAATTAAACAAGAATGGTGTCTTTATGACCCCAAAGAGGTTATGTGGTATGTCTCTTTAATCAGAGTAAAATGTGCTATTAATGAAAAATGTTTTCACTTCTCTAGTACTCAGCATGCCCATAATACAAATTTAGCACAAAATAAATAACGCTAACCAAAAGTCACAGTGTTCTGGGAGTGAATGGAAAGTATAATAGTATTAAACACATATCTAAACATACAACTCTGTCCTGTCCTTCCGAAGGAATGTAATGAAAGTACAGAATGTACAATGTGATACAGCAGCAGTGATTCCTAAACTGATGTGTTCCCTACTCAGAAGGAAACAACAGAAAGAAATGTGTTGGATTGTGAGATTTGGGGTGTGTGTGTGTTTGTGTCTTTAACTATGCCTACTTATCCTCTGTTTCACTTTCTATCTATCTCATGTGTTCATTGTTGTCCCTGAACTTAAAACTGTGAGTTGGACTATGTGGAACAGGAATTTAGCTGTTGGGTGAGTCAGCTGTCACTGGGTTGTGTGAAATTTTTGTTTTGCACTGAAGCCTTGAAGCAGCCCTCAGGTTTTACTGTATTTTGCATTTGAGAGATGAGATGGGTGGGGAGGGAAAAAAAAAAGGGACGTGACATTCTGATCGCTTCCCCACATTCTTGCTTGGGGAGTTGAGAGGGCCTGGCTGAGAGATGTCTGTGTGTGTCAGTAGCAGGGAACCACAATTTCAGGCACACTGCCCTGGCAGTGACCTTTGCTCTGATAAGCTGGAACACATTGTTTTAAGCAAAGATGTAATTTTGCATCTCTCTCAAAGTAATTCTAGAGTTGGTCTCCTTGGTGGAAGCGTGTGTGATGTGGCACAGAGTTTATCCAGAGGGACTCTGAGAAAGGGCCACTCACAGCTTCATTTTCCTGCTGTCACACAGCAAGAAAAGTGTGTGCACATGACCTGTGCTTTTATTTGGTTCCTTTGATAATGTTTTATAGGATGTTCATAAAAGTTTTGAACTGGTCAGAAACAGGAAGACACAGGCCATGACAGTGTGCATTTTCCACTTTAGGCTTGCTAATGTGTCTCTGTAATCAGTAATTACTGTACTGGACCCATGCAATGCTTTTTCAGACAACATCAAGCTTTTAGGTTTTAGAAACAAGTTATCATTCCTTCTGCAACCCACCTGCTCTATTTTCATTCCATTTTTAAAAGTAATTTAACTGGAACTATGTTCATTACTTTGGAAAACAAAATTGTTCTATTGTGGTCAATCAAGATATGCTGGTTTACATCATACTGGTATCAAATTGAAGAGTTTTGATACTTTCATTACTGACACAGACAAGGACTACCAAATTAAAAATGACAGCATACTGGATCCCCCCCAATTTCCTTGTCTCTCTGCTAGTAGCCACTTCTTATCCAATAAAGAAATTTCAGAGTGAACTAAGCCATGCATTTCAGGTTAGTGCTAGGTCTCAGGGGCTAAAACACAGTTGTTTTGGATAGTAAAGATTTCATACTAATTAGTATTTCATACGTAATGTATGTACATATGTAATGTCATATGTACAGAGGCTAAATATTATGACAGTGCAAAAACCTACAGCTTCTCAGGCAGTCCTCTAGCCATGGAGAGGATGGTTTGGAGAAGGAAATTTAGCTCTGAAGCTAGCTAGTTTGATACAGAATGATAAAAAAATGCTCCCATAAGCTATAAGAGTGAAAGTTAAGCTCCATTTATCCTAAAAGGGACAGGTATTTGGGAGGGGAGGCAAAAAAAAAAATCCTTTCTGCAGTTGGGAGAATGTAAGTAGACACAAAAGGGGCTTGTGCTTTGCAAGAGAATAAGAAGCCAGATTCCTTTAGTGCCTAAAGTTGTTGCTAAGAGATGAGCTGAATTATATTAAAAAAAAGGAGTGTGTGAGTGCACAAGACTAAAGAAGGAATTGTTACTCTCTGACCCAAGAATGCACTGATGACTTCTCGAGGCGGGGAAAAAAAATAAAATTTCTCTGTGTGCACTCACTGCTCATTCTGGAACTCTGTGTTTGTGAAATATTTTCTTCAAATATTTTCTTGCTTGGGCACAAGGGTTGCAGACTGGTACATTCCATTCCTAACCTCCTGAACTCCTCTGTCTCATGAGCATACATTTCCCTGTGTGCAGAGCAAGTCCCCGCACACAAACAAGACTCAGAAGAGCAGCACACTAATGCAGGCACTTATCTTTCCTGTCCTCCCTTGCCTGTCTCGTGCTCTGCCAACATGGCAAACACATTTTTGTTCTGCCTCTGTAACCAGCACAGAAGACACAGTGTGTTTGCTCTGTCCCCACTCCCTTGTTCCCTGCCCAGAAGGTTCCTGTGATCAGCGTGCACACAGGCAGCAATGTAGTCTGGGCTCAAATGCAGTCATCAGAAAACTTGGATGAGTGCTGCAACTTAGCACTGTGTCACTCTGAAAGAAGGTAACCCCTGCTGTAATACTGCCACTGGCTTCTCTGGGTGACACTTTGCTGCCTTTCTTTGGATGAGCAGCCAGAGAGTTAAGCCTAAGAGGTTTTGATACTTCTCTCTTGAACTTAGAGGACTGGCTGCTCTTCTGACAGGATATCAGCTTAAATGGCCACCACCAACCCTCTGTGGCAACTCCCCTAAAACCACAAATGAGCATGAAATGAAGCATAAACATGTAACTGAAGGGAAATAGAAAACTTGAATTTGAAGATAACTCATATACAGCTTCTTCTTTATGTTGTTCAGAGCTTATTTGTCCACTCATTTTATAAATAATCCTTTCACCTAAACTGGGTGATCTGGTTTACCTAAAGGTATGTGTTGTGCTATGGAGGAGATGAATTTGGTCGGATGCTGTTGTCCATCTCTCTTTCCCTGGAGTTACCCCTGGGTGCTTCTGTTGGATGCTCAGCTGTGAGCCTGCAGGGTGGGGCCCATGGCTGCTTGCTTCGTGATGCACTCTTGCATGGGACGTGAAGGGAAAGCACCACGGAAACTAGCAGCATTACAAAGTAAGCTGTAGACCCTTTACTCACTTCCTGGAACCATTTTCAGAATGGCTGTGTTATAAATAGATTTCATGTTGCAAGGTACAATGAGAGATGTGCATTAGCAGCTACTTAAAAAACTTTGCTACACTTCTGAAATACATGAATCTTGTTCCTTGCTACTTGTATCAGAGGAAAGAGAAGGAACAGGCTCCTTGGATTATCCTAAAGCTATTCATTCCACTGTAACAGCACACCAGCTCTACCCACTGGTTTCTTCTGTGCATCTGCTCTACAATATGTATTTGGGGGTGTGGAATGGAGATTTAATGTCTTACAATGGTTATCCCTCTGAGTCTTAGAAAGGATTTGGTACTGGCAGCACAATTGTATGTTAGCCATATTTAAATACAAGGTTTAGGATTACTTTTGAACTGGAATAGTAAACCATGCTTGTTTTGCTTTTTTAATCCTATACTGATGATTGATGGCAATTCTGCACATTCCCACTGAACTCTGGCATGGAGAGTCCCTTTTTGTGGATGATGATGATTGTGAGGATGTGTGGTGTTATTTGTGGGACCTTGGAGGGACCTTATTGTGATTTAAATGAGACCACAATAAAACATTCTACACAAATTAGATTGAGAACCATACAAGATATAGCATGGCCCACTGCAATAAACATTAAGTTTGGCATACAACTTAATAGTGACTGCAGTTTCCTGCTCCCTTGTTGGTTTTTCAAAGTGCTGGGATACTTCTGTAATAGCTGCTGCTTTTTCAGAGCTCACATAGAATAGAAGTTATATAGACCCTCTGATCTTTGGCCACTTGTTCCAATAGTATCTTTCATTAATGGGCACAAAGAGTAATTTTAAGTGATAAAGTGGTATCTTAATATCCTAGGTTCAAATTCTTACTGCACACCCTAGAGTTACATATAGGTAAGATTCACTTTGAGGACTGCACTGAGGATGTTCAGCCAGTTGCAAAATCATTTTCAGGCTTGAGAACATACATTATTACAGCACTGTCCCATTAAAATGTCTTTAGAAAGAGAGTATTTTAATTAAAATCTATTTTAGGTTGTGATTTTTTTTTCTGATGGCCTAACTAGGATATGCATAGAAAATTAAAGGGAAAAATACTAGAGCTGTTTTCAGGTCTGCTTCCCTAGGTAGGACCTGGTTAGCAGTTAATCTTGGCTGCATTAGAGCTAAAGCAGCTTAGAACTATGAAAATTCTGTGGCTAATGCTGCTTTTAATTGGTTCTTAAGGCACCCATTTGAGTTCAAGATGGCTTTATCGTTTAACAAGCGCTCTCATTTAGAAACAGAATATCCCTATTGAGCAACGTCTTTAACTAAGGAATATTGCCAGTAAAATAAATGCATCTTTAGCCTACATCTCAATCTTGAATCAGACAGAGGTAGAATTTTATGAGAGAGCAACAATTCAGATACTAATGCAGTATGGGAGTAGTAAAGCATGGGAGTAAAAAAATCCCCTTTTGGTGGCTACTTACATCTGGATAATAGTCCATGGTGGGCACCAGGCGCTCTATCAAGGCCTCCAGTGATCCAGAAACAAGGTTCCCATCCTGGTAAACAGGGTCCACACATCTCTCTCCCATGTCTGGCTGCACTTGCCCACTACAACTGGAACCAAGCATGCTGGAAAATATTGGCGTCTGGGGCATAGTTTCCTGCAGAAGGGCAGAGAAAGAGAGAGAGGGTTAAGCTTTCTTGCAGGATGTCTTATGTGTGGGTTTTACAGAGGCATACATTAAACACAATTACAGATTTGACTGAAGGCAGCCTCAGCATTCAAGCTGAGTTCTGAATCCAAGCAGTCTGCAAGCTGGCTTTGGTGTTTGAAATGCACTTTAAATTATGTCTCTAAAGCTGTAGATGCATGAGTTATAAGAATTTTCCTCACTGCACTTCATTTCTTCCTTCTCCCCAGTTTTCCCCTAGTTCCTTATGCATAAAACTAGACAGAGATGAAAATACAGAATGCTTTCTGAATTTCCAAGATACTCAAGTGGTGCCTTACTGAGCAAACAAACAAATACTAAGCTTTAATGTTCCCATTTTTACTGATTTTGAAGTCAGATCTTTGGCCAAAACACTTCACTTGTGATGATAAATCCTTCACCACTTCTGTAGCTAGATGCAATCCAGGTCTCAGCACAAGGGCATCTTCTGCATGTAGATATCTCTGGAAACAGCAGGGGATATCCTGTCTGATCAAAATTGCCGTTTTTTTAAAACATGTACATGAAACCAGGAACTGGGTGGAACCGTGACATATACTGTCATATACAAGCCTAATTTCAACAGTCTCTTTGGAGATCTTTGCTTAGGATACAAACCTGTTGTCGCAACAGAAAAACCACACCAAGGTTTGGGGTTTGCACCTCCCTTCCCTTGACCACAATTGTATCACTGTACGGCAGCTTTGGAGTAAACTCCAGGGGGTTCCTTGTTTGTTTTGAATTGGCTACAGCTTAAATCTATGCAGAAGGCTAAACAAAACATCCTGCTGCTGTATGTAAAGGTTGGAAACGCTATTCAGCATCAAAACAGTTCCCCCTGGCTGCTGAAATAGTCAAGACTGTTTAGGAGATCAAGTGCAAAGAAGGCAGCATTAACTCTTGAGCTGCTGTCTCACTGTCTCAGAAAGAGACAAGATACTGACATAGATGAAAAGCACTTATGTAGATGAAAAGGATTAGGCCATTATCGGCACCTTTAACCTGACAGCTGTTTCTAACTGCGCTCATCTCCTGCACTTAAGTCTTCTCCTGAGCAATTTTTTAATGCAAGGCATATTTTTCCTCTCAAACTCTCCAAAGTCAATCATTCATGTTTACAACTGGAATACAGAACATTTTTCTCCTCTTAGGCACTGATAAATGCTAGGTGCACTGTGAGGAAAAAAATACCAATATTAACAGAACTTGTTTATCAAAGTGACAGATTTACTTGTGTGACGCTGATAAGTAGAACAGTTTTGTGGCTTTTACCAAAAGACCATTGCGTACATATGTGATAAGAGACATAAGGGAAGTGTAATTCCCTGTAAGATAAATATAGTAGCTGTTTAATAGCAACCAGGGAGACCACAAGGAGGAATGGAGCTCAGTTTCAGAAGTTCAGGACACAGAGTCCAATAAAATAGAAAAGGCAGGATCTCATGTCATATCAAAAGAAATGAAAAATGACAGTTCTGCACAAAAGCGCATTGAGGTTACTCAGTATTTTACAGATTTATCTGTTAGGCCTGAGCTTTGCAGTACATAACACCGACAAACGGCTGAAGCTAACGGCTTCGCTATCTGTACTATGTAACTCGCCAGTAATTTGCTTTTTTCCCTTTTAAGGTCCATAGCAATACAGCCCCAAGCTGCTGCTCAGGATGGTCTGGCTGTGATGAGCACTTCTGGCCAAGAACTTGAAGTTGCACAGGGCTTTTAAGCGAACCTAACCACCAAACAAATCCTCACCGAAACGATGCTTTAGCGGGAAACGAACCCCGCTTTTGCCATCAAGCCTTTTAACTCCTTGAAAGGCGCTCGTTGTTGCATCAGTTCGGTTTTTAAAGACCCCTCTGGAGCGCAGCCTGAACCGCTCCCTTCCCCGCCTCCCTGGCTGTCCTGGTGCCGCATCCCGCGGTGCCACCGCGCTCCCGGGGCTGTTCCCGCGGGAGGGCGGCGGGCACAGCGGGGCACGGCCAGGGCAGAGCCGGGCACAGCGGGTGCGCTCTGCCGCCGCCACCCCGCGATCCTGGGGCGCTCTCCGCGCTGCCCGCGCCCCCAGCCCCGCTCCTGGGGCGGGATCGCTGCGGCAGAGCCCCGCAGCACCTGCCGCCGGCCGTGCCCTCTCCCCGCCGCCGGCCGTGCCCTCTCCCCGCCGCTGGCTGGCGGGACCCGGCGGGGCGCTGGCTCCGCCGCAGGAGCAGCTCCGCGCCAAGCCCACCCGTGCCCTCCGCGCTCCCGGGGGTTCCCGCCCGGCGGCCCCCGGCGCTCCGTGCCCCGCAGGTGGCGGCCGGGCCGGCCCCGGCTGGGGCAGCGGCGCTTACCCTCATCTTCCTGGCGCGGCGCTCCCGGCGGGCGGGCGGGCGGGCACCGGGCCCGGGCTGTGGGCTCTGACAGCCCCGACCGCCCGCCGCCGCTCCCGCCCGCCCGCCTGACGTCAGGGCGGCCGCGGGGCCCCGTTGGCTGAGCGGCGGCGGGGCCCGTTCAAACGGCGCCGCGCGGGGAGGGCGGGGGCGGCCGGGCACCTCTCTGCTGGGAACGCTCCATCTTTCCGCGTGCTTTGGGGTGGCAGGGCTGGCTCCCTCTCCCCACGCTTTTGCTTTTTGGTTGGTTTGGTTTTTCCCTTTTCTGTGTGTTTCTCCCCCAAATACGCGTTCTCCAGCCGCCAGCCGGCCCGGCTCCCCGCGCTGCCCCCGCGTGTGCCCGACGCGCTGCTCGGGAGCGCGGCCGCCCAGCCCTGCCCGCTGATAACTGATTTTATTCCCCTCTCTGTCGGAGTTGATTCTCTTCTAGCTGCCTGAGCCAGTTTGATAGCCCTGGGCTTGTCCCGAGCCGCAGGGCTGGCGCGGGACCTGCCCCTGTTGTGTCACACACGGGCACCGGTCCTGTCTAGAGCCTGATCTCCCTTGGAAAGGCTCCGAGGTGCATCAATCTGCCCCACAGAGTCCCTCACCTGTACCCAGGAGCAGCTGAGGGCTGCCATCTTTTCAGCCTTTTCCCACACAACCTTTTCCCCTTCTTGTCCTGTTCTTCATTTTACTTGAATTGGGATGGTTTAGTGGTTGCTACATTGTCTCCAGTCATTATTCAGATTTATTTTTGTTATTCAAATTATTTATTCGATTGGAATAAATCAAATATGCTGAATATGTAGCAGAAGGCTTCTCTAGTTTCCATGGTGATTAATGTAGGAAAAGCCTTTTTGGAGGTAGGTACGCCACTCTAGGTAGGTGGGCACGGCAAATTAATTTGGGCACATGCACGTACTCAGGAGTGTAAGGAACAGATTCATGATTGCTCACGATTTGAGGACAAGCACTGTCATCCGTCCCAAACACACGTTAATTTTAGAAGGATATGCAGCTACTCATCTTTACTTATTGCTTACTAAATTCATTTTGGCTTCCAAATTCTAACAGTTCTGCTATAGAGATTATTTTCCTTATTTAAAATTAGTTTTTCTTTTAAACAACTACTAGAAAAGTCACGTTTCCCCCCCCTCTGCCAAGTCTGCTTTGCTCAATCCTGGCTCTTCGCTGTACTCCACAACCTGTGAAGTGTGCAGGTGCTGTAGCAGACCTGATGCCTGTTTGTGCTGAGGCTCTGCTCAGTTACAGCCCCTGCCTGCCTTGGCCCTGGGCTGGAATCCAGGGAGTGGTGTCTGCATTGCCACTGTGTAATGGTCAGGGAAATGTAAAGGTAACCCACAGCAGGGTGAGAGACAAGTTTTGTTAAGTCTTGTTCAAACATCTTGAAGCTCTTTATAAAAAGTTACCAAAAGCAGAAGGTAAGAACTTGTAGGCTATCACTGTACAACATGATAGTATTTCTTTCTGAATGCTATGAATATCTTTCAATACCTCATCTAGTATTTATGGCTAGGAGCAACACCAGCAAGCCTGCAAATAAGTATGCATGAAAAATAGGTATCGGATTTCATTCTGTTTCTGTGCTAATCTGTTTTCCAACCTTACTCAAACATTTGCTGAGACTTTTAGAAGAAAATGTCCATTAATCTTAGCAAAACATACCTAGTTAATTGAGCTCTAGTCACAGATTCAATCTGTTGTCAAAACAACCCGTGATCTTTTTGTTTGTTTGGGATTTTGTTGGTTTTAGTGACATCAGAAATTAGATCTGTCTTGTCAGTGGAACTAAGAAATGTAGGAATTAAGATAAAAGTAAGGAAAACTATGCTAGCTAGGCATGCTCTCTCTTCTCTGAGACGTGTATCTATTCTGTGGTTTTGTTCCATATTTCTCCATTCAGTAGACCAGCAGAGTCTGTTTAGACTTTTTCTATGTGTATGTAAAGAAGCATATGCATGTATGCATTATACACACATAAACAAGAAATATGTACATTTAACCATACACGTATAAACATACACATTTGTATGCTTATACAAATGTTGGGGGGTGTGCTAGGATAAAAGCTTAGTAAAATATCTTTTCCTAGGATACATGATGCTTGGTTTTGGGGACACTGTGTTGTGCAGTCTTGTTGGAAAGGTAGTTTTTACAAATCAGAGGAGCTGAAGGCCTTGTACAGCATGTAGCAGATGAATCATGTTATCATTTCATTTCATTTCCCTTCTGTAAAGTGTGGATGATGACCTTTAGCTATCTATATTCTGAGTGTTGAAATCTGTTGATACAGAAACTCTCTGAGGTCTAATTGTTTTTGTAGTTATGTAAGGTCTGTTCCTCAGCAAATTGCTTGCATTTTGAAGGTGCTTCCATCAGGCATTGCCTCATGTTGCTGGTGGGTGTTCCCCAGAGCAGTTTAATCAGCAGCAGAGCCTGTTCTGGTTCTGTGGCTTGCTTTTGAGGTGACACTGCTGTGGTTCACTTGGGCTGGTCAGAGCAGCATCTTGCTGCAGAGTGAGTCAGCAGCAGCCACGCCGTGCCTGCCTCAACCTTCAGGGTTGCTTCAGCCTCTCTCCC